GATGTATTATACGGCGCATTGCAGTCAAGGCTAATGGATGGAGCGTCTGTGCAGTCGTGTATTTCAGACTTCTGCGATGCTGTATCTCGTATCCGGGAAACAATAAAATACGACGACACATGGAGTGCTTCTTTACGCCGCGGGCAAACAACGCAGCGTTTGATTTTGTCTGCAAAGGAATGCTGTGACATTCTGGTGAATCAAATAGGCGATCGTCTGCGCACTGAACACCTTGCCGCGTTCTCTTTGATGAACCCCAAAATTTTTTCAAAATTTGCACGTCAATTTCCCATCCATTTGTTGGCTACTGTCTCCAAATTTTACCCCATGATAAACGTGGGTAAACTGGAAAATGAATTGCGATGTATACACCAATCAAACTTTTTTGAACATCACATCAACTTGCGCGCTCTATGGGTTCCTCATAGATAACACTCTAGTAACTACCTTTGCGGCGTCTGCAAAATTTCTGGACATCATTTTGACGACGCGTATTTCTTCCGCCGACGCAGAGAGAACATTCAGAACACTGAAGCGTATTAAAACGTATCTCAGAAACACAATGAAGCAAGATAGATTAAATTCCTTGGCTGTTTTATCCATTCACAGAGACGTTATTTCTGGGATGCATGACTTTAATCAGCGCTTTATTGAGCATTTTGCTTCCAAGAAACCGCGGCGTGTTGCATATATGTTCAAGCAGTAGAAGTCTAGCAGCATATATATCTATGAGTTAGCGACGCATGTCCTTATCTTTGCATTGACTTTCCTTTCTTCATAGTAACGTTTTAAACCTTATATTAGGTTTTGTCTGCTTTCCCGAAGTTTCTGTTAATATGTCATTGTATTTATCTGGGTAAATATTGCCTTTCCTTTTGAAAGAGGTTTCAAAATAAACTATGTCTATATTTATTAATCCCTTGACTTGGACCGGTTTTAAAGACACTTTCTTATAGTTAAAAATTGTTGCTTTTGCAGCTTGGTTGTTACCGATGGAATGGTTTTTATACTCATAAAATGATGGGAGAACTTACAGCGCTCATCCTGTCCCCGTAGATGGGGGTGACTTGGTCCCGCAGTAGCTTGCCCCGGTTGTCAAAATGACCACGCGCCGCCACTGCGCGATAATAATATGATTTTTGACCCATTCATTGAAAAAGGTTCGCCATCTCTGACGTAGGGGGTTGTGGCATCTGCCAATCATCTCTGCGTCCGTCCATAAGTTATCAAAGTGGAGTAGGGGCAGAGTAATTCTGCTGTTCTGTGATAGCATTTATTGGATGGTAATTAAAGGTTTATACCAGGATTATAGCACAAAAGTGAAAATTCAGATACTCCCAAGTATGGGCGATGTAGAATACGGAATCCGAAGGATTTTAATCCCTAGGACTCGGTTTCCGTCTCTTCGGCGCCGTGCGTCAATTTTTGTACTTCGGATTTATAATTTATTAATCAGGGACGAGCGTTATTCTCTCGCGACGAAATATGTCTCACGTGATTATACTTGTGCTTTCTCGCAAAGAGCCCGCAAACGATATCAAACACCGTAATCCCAGCTTGAATATTCACAACGCGAAGACGGCGTTATTGCACCATTTATTTATTATTATTGGTGCCGACTACCATCTTGCAGGCGATTTTCCGATTGCAACAATCTTGATTTTTTAGGATAGTGAAACCTTCTTTATTTTATATTAAATGACTTCTCCCGGAAAATGATGAGTACCCGGCGTTAGATGATAAAACATTATTTGCGATTAATTTGGATCAAATTTTACTTTTAATTTTCACGACGCCCGGTTTCCGAAAATACGAAGTTATAACGCAAAACAATGCGCTTTGTCACTTTTATTTTGCGCTCCCAATAAAATACATATATGTTGGATTTCGAGTCGCTGATGAATCCGTTCCGTTCCTATGGCCTGGTCGAGCGTCAGGTGGTATTTTAGTCACGATAAATTGAAAAAGTTGCGATGGTAACTGGAAATTAAAATTTGGTAACAGAAATGAAATTGTCTCAAGATGTTATTTTATGAGTTTTGCTCTCAGAAGCAATCGTTTCCGTCAAAGGCACAAGTATGGTGGCCCATCGTTGTCACGCGTAAAATTGAAAATAAAAAACCGAAAATAAAAAAATAGTTGTGAAAAAACATAAAAATAATTGAAAAAAAAAATGAAAAAAAAAATTTAAATTAAAAAAAAAAAAATTAAAAATAAGAACGAAAAAAAAACGAAAAAAAAAAAATTGAAAAAAAAAGAAAATAAAAAGGTTAACAACGATGGTCCGCCTCGTGGCCCATCGTTGTCACGCGTTTTTATTTTTAGAAAATTTGCTTCTGCTTGGGACCAACGTTGTCAGGCATAATCCTACGCGCACAAATGTGTTCCCTGGGTTTCCAACTCACTACTGATTTTCTCGAGCAATATTCAATATGGAAATGTTCTATAAATTCTCCATGCTACAAGTTCAACAAGAAGTAATAAATTTATAAAAATGATAAGAGAATATAGAATTGAATACGAAAATTCGGAAAATTTGTTTTTACGTGTAGAAGGTAATTTAATTGGAGAATGCTGGTTAACTACTCAGTTGTCTGGACACTCGCGATGCCGGTACCGTCTTACCAAATACCGGTAGTCGGTTATAGTCGCTTTGCGTCTGACCGTACCGGTAGCCATGCAATCACTCATGAAAGAATGGGAGATACGGATAGCCTCGTAGAATATAGACTACTGAAACACTCTCTGCGCCTGACCCATACCGTACAGCAGTAACGTACCGATCCAGACAAATGATAAATCGCCCGTGCTCAACCATTTATTTCAATCCATACCTCGATCCTAGTAGAATATAGTGAGTCGAGGTATGGATTGAAATAAATGGTTGAGCACGGGCGATTCATCATTTGTCTGGATCGGTACGTTACGGCTGTACGGTATGGGGCAGGCGCAGAGAGTGTTTCAGTAGTCTATATTCTACGAGACTATCCGTATCTCCCATTCTTTCATGAGTGATTGCATGGGTACCGGTACGGTCAGACGCAAAGCGACTATAACCGACTACCGGTATTTGGTAAGACGGTACCGGCATCGCGAGTGTCCAGACAACTGAGTAGTTAAGCAGCATTTTCCAATTAAATTACCTTCTACACGTAAAAACAAATTTTCATATTCAATTCTATATTCTCTTATCATTATTATAAATATATTTCTTGTGGTTGAACTTGTAGCATGGAGAATTTATAGAACATTTTCATGTTGAATTTATTGGATATTGCTAATAAAAGTCAGTAGTGAGTTAGAAACCCAGGAAACACATTTGTGCGTGTAGGATTAAGCCTGACAACGTTGGTCCCAAGCAGCATCAAATTTTCTAAAAATAAAAACGCGGGCCACGAGGCGGACCATCGTTGTCAACCTTTTTATTTTCTTTTTATCCAATTTTTTTTTTTTCGTTTTTTTTTTTGTTTTTATTTTTAATTTTTTTTTTATTTTTAAGATTTTTTTTTACTTCTTTTTTTTCAATTGTTTTTATGTTTTTTCACAACTATTTTTTTATTTTCGCTTTTTCATTTTATTTTTTCATTTTTTTTTAAATTTTACGCGTGACAACGATGGGCCACCATACACAAGACATTCAAACATTATATAACGATATCATACCAGTCAGATAACCTACATCCTCTTTAGACATCGGCTACAACCAGATAGCTGAGGACTGCGAGATCCATAATATCCACACCTCAATGGTAATATCGCGTTGAGAGAATACCATGACGCATCACTCAAGTGTAACGAGACGCAATCGCCGGTGCCGAGAAACCTCCTAAAATGAAGCACCACAGTCACAGACTATTGAGATTAGAGACGAAGGTGCTACAAATGCTCAAGCGGTCATAGCGAACTACTTTTCGACCTGTATGGTCATGTGTGACCAATTTTTTTTCTGTTTGATCTCTGTTCAATTCCAACCTGTTATAATAGTTGAAATTTATTTAATAGTTACAATTTATTAAAAATGATTACAATTTTTCTCATATTTTATTCGTCAAATAATTCAAGGCTGACGCAAATGCCAGCCTGTCTTTTCCACATTCTTCACGGAATATTTGTAAAATAGCTTTCGTCCTGGAATCTGAAATTTATCAAATTGGACATTAGTAATAGCAAAAATGTGGTATCCGCCAGTAATTCACATACATCCCGGTTTAACTAACCATAATTTCCTCTACTATTCTGCCTCATTCTCCCTCGCTGGTTTGTAGTTGGAGTGACTGGTGCGGAGTGTCTTACACTGTCATAAACTGAAGACAAAGCATATTTCGATATTATAAAGAAGCATTGCTTGAAAAAGGAATTTGTTTTGGGATCGCTAATGATAAAAATGAAAAACTATGAATGACTATTCGACAAACCTGGCGGCCGTTCCTGTTGTGACTCGCCATCTGACTTTTGTAACAAACTGCTTTCGGGATCGTCGACTAAATATAATGTATTCGGGTAAAACAGTGTTGGCATCAACCATTTTTCAACCGATTTTATTGTATGTTATTCTGTACTGACCTTCTATCTCTGCCACAAATTGTGTTACAGTCGATTCAAAACTGGAGCCATGACCAATTGGTGGCTCGCTGGTGTCTACACCAACCATGGAAGATAAACCCTGAAGTTATATTTACTAATTGCAACCTCACCTGTACTTTTGGTCTACAGCCAAGAAACTCATGCATGGCCCTGAAATAGGGCCATGCTAAAGCTGACCAGGAGCTTTGTCCAGATTGTGATGTTTTGGTTCTTATGCTGTTATATTTGGTCTTCAGCCGCTTCCACTTATTCTTCACAGTAACTCTATTCAAGCAACATGAAAAAATCAGTATTCTAACTATACTTATTTTTCCACATTTCTATTTTACTGCAAAACTTACACATCTATTTCGCCATATCCCTTCTCCACTAACATTCTGGCCACCTCCTTCATAACCACCACATTTCTTACGGCCGTACTGTCGCTTTTTTCCACTAACTTTACCATCTTAGCGGCATTGATTAAATCAAATGTCGCTTCTTGTGACCAATTGAACATTCTAAACAGAAATCAATTACCTGTCCTTAGTATGGCAACTATCACACCATCTAACTTTGTCCTGCCAATCCCCACTGGTCCGATGTGGAAGCAATTATTATTCATTGCAAAATTATATATTTCATACACAAAACATGTAAAAATTAGTGTGGAAATAGCTGTGATAAACTAGGCTAAAACTCTTTACCGATACTTTTAAAAAGCAGCTGATTAGATGACGCTCTGAGTCTTTTCGCGACCCCGCCTCAACTGCAACAAGCCGATATCCGATCATCATTTTGTTACATTATATTATTTATTCATTTTTCATATCGCACATTGTTTTTGCATGACGAAAATAAATATCTGAATCTGGAATCCCAGCGCACTGAGCGGCGATTCACCTCCGTCTGCTGTGAATTTCGTTTACCAAGTTTCAACATTAAATTTTCCCTAGAAATCGTTGGATGACTATTGGATATTCTTCCAAATCTTTCTCTACTCCAGTCATAGAAGGATGACGAAGTGCTTCTTCAGGTGTTATGCGTAGGTTAGGGTCCCATCTGTACATGGAGTTTATGAATCACCAAGTTCTTAGATCCTAAACTTAATTTTATGGTGTCGCCATAACATAGTATCTGGATAAGTACGCACGGAAAAGCACAAAAAAATATGTAGTCTGATCTATGAGGTGACTAGACATACACAAATGTTTTCTTTTTTTTACATTCAAACGTACGAAACCCAATCACAAACAAAATACACAACGTTTTAAATGATTTTCAACAAGACTTACTCGAGGCATCTGCAAATCAGGTCAATTAACACGAAGTCCATTCCTTCCAAAACTTTCAACAATGGTCTACTATAAGGCCTTCGATACGTTCCTTTATCGTGAATTTTGTGTCGAAAGGCATCTAGACAAACATATATATAAATAAAGCAAAGATGAAAATTCAAAAGAAATAATTAGGTTGGAAAATCCCTGAATCCCAAGTTCAAGGGGGGCCATGAATGACACAATGGGCCAATGAATGACACAAGGCTAATAATTGATCCTAAAACGATTTCGTTTGCACACTTTCCTTTTATAATGAAATTCTCTGTTGAGGTGTTCACCGCAGTTTAAGTGCCTGAATAGGTTAATATGTATTCACTTTCTTGTGTGTGAATTGTTGGATCATAATGGAATTTGCAATCTACCAATCAAAATAGTTCGCTGGTAGGCCGTCTAACCTGTAGTTTCACTAGACTGCGAGATAACCTTCGCTATCGTACTATAGACGGAATAACCCATTTGTAAAAATTCCTAATGGCCAAAATACGAAAATGGAACGACATTTACTTTGGCTTTACAAAAGTAAATCGAGATGACAGAGAATGTCCTCAATACTTGCATTTCTGTAGTATGTAATGAGCAATGAATCATTAAGTCCATCTAAACTCCAAAATCACCGTGACAAAAATCATCACCGGGTGAAAGCGTTGATATTCTTGGCTGCCAAGCAAATTAGATTGACAATAAGGCAACATTGACCAAGTTCGAGTTTTCGCCGGAGGAAAAGCCCGCTTTTGAATGCAACTTTGAGGTGGCATATCAAATTCTTACCCACTACTAAGAAAGAAAGCTACTTCACTGCTAGTTCATTTGTCGCAAGTTGCGATTTGCAACTTATTCGTTATTCGTCAGACAGTCCCGAGCGATTCCCATTGATTGTATACTAGAAAACTCTTACTTTCTTGTCCGTGGTTTGCTTTTGCATTCCGTAAAAGGTAATAAAAACATAATACAATCCAACACGTTAATGTTTTTGGAATGGAGAACAGGGGGCCACGAGCCATAAAAGGTTGAGAACCACTGGCCTAGATAAAGTTTATCAATGTAGTTACCCCAGTATATATGCTTCCTAGGTGACTTTGCAATCATATGACTTGGAGGAAGCCCGAGTACTTCCATCATTGCTCCTAAATGATCTTCCTCATTATCTTCACCATAAAATGGGGGCTGACCCAAAAACAGTTCTGCCAGCCAAACTCCAAAACTGAACATGTCAATCTGAGTTGTGTGTTGAAGGTTGAAAATTATTTCAGGAGCACGATAGGCTCGAGTAATAAAGTAATACCGAATTCCACATTCTATAAAAAGATAAAAATTCAGTTTCATAAGCATTTCATATCATTTTTTTAGTTCATTCTAACAATAGTTAAAAAATTCGTTATATTCATGAACTTTGTGCACCAAAAATCTAATGATATAACTTTTAATATCATAATCTCAGAAAGACATACTTGGTTGACCAACAACGCAGCTTCCTCCAAAATCCCCTATTTTTATCAATTGTCCATTGCTTTCATTATTTTTTCCATGAATATACATCAGGTTATGCTGAAAACATATAGAAAAATTTAATTCCCGCTATGTTTTAGCACAGCGTATATTTTTTTCTGCTATTATCAAAAGAAGCTGGCCTTGAGACAGTTTCGCAACCAATGTCATCGCGGCTCTTTGTCTCAAGCCTCGACCCGTTTTATAAACTTTTAGCGCATATTACCAAATAAGCAGACAATATTAGTTAATAGCAACGCGAACTTGGATGGATTAGCGAATAATCTTGCAAGCTTAATCATAGAGAATATATATAAATATATACATATTCAGGCACTATAGTTATTAGTGATCAGAGAATCTTTACTTATATACACAAGCCAACTACAACCAACAGTATGGATTTGTATGGAGTTCTTTTATGTTTCAAGAGTTGTTGCTACACAGAGACCTATAAGCAAACTAACGAAAAACCACTACTAGCGAAAACTCAAATGCCAAGAGCACAAAACTGATGCATTATGCACCAGTGAATTTCAGTTGGTCAGTGAGTTGGAGTTTCACAACTCAGAAATGATATAAAGACTATCAAATTTTCAGTGTCCTCCCAAAGTGTCGTTTCTCATTGAAATAAAATTGCTAATTATCACTATCAGGGCAGATTACACACTATAGTAAAATTGTAATTAACAATGATTATTCAGCATGTGACAATATATTGCATTTACCAGTTTAAAATCTCCGTGCAACACGCCGATTTTGTTGAGAATACGCAAACCGTGCAAAGCATCACTTGCATATCTTCGTATCAATGTTGTGTTTCGCACGGAGTGTTTCAAATATTTTAAATCAATAGTTCCTCTGTGAAGTACATTAAAGTTTGGTAAGTGAAAAATGAATGTAAAAGTAAAATAATTCTGCATCCAAATAGATAGCATGCTATGTTTAGCAAATACATAACATGTTATCTATTCATTAAGCATTTTAGTAAATCAGAATAATAGAGCAATGCTCAAATATATGGATGGACACGTACCGCCAATTGCTTAGGAAAAATGTGTTGCCAAATTTCATAAAAAGTAGTTCAATGGATTTAAATTTTAAATGAAACAGAAAAATTTTAAGTAAAATATCGTACTTGAAAAAAAAAAGAATATATATCCTTTTAGCGGATTCAAGTAGTAAAATTTGACATTGATTGATGCAATAATAGCAAACTAGATTTTTTCACAACATTTTCCGAAAGCGCACGGTCTCCCTCATGTAATTATGGGAGCATACAAATATATGTAATAATAAAGGATACCTCTTCTTTAAAATACACTGTATTTTATTTCTGAGACTAATACTAACCCCAGCAATTCAAAAACTATACAGGGATGGTTGCGAAATTCGAAGGTTGCCAACATGCGTGTAAAATAATCCAAATTGGAAGCATGGGTATTGAGATACTGCAGCATACCTACTTCTTGCCAGAAAGGTCTAAGGGTGCTGAAAACACAAAACAAAACTTTAAAAGAAGATTAATTCAGCGTTGGTGAAGTGACCACTTAGCGATAAATTAGGAATCCGACTGAAAAATTCGTTCGTGAATGCACGAAAGTCGGCTTTACATTTATTGAATACATAATCACGATATGGCCCTTCTGTGCCATCGTGTCACGTGCGATGTTTTCAAAATATAATAGGTGCATACAGTGTATCAGCTGTGGCCGATCTCGTGTGCAAAACTTGTACCCGAAATTTGGAGCAAGAGTTTTCAAAAGGGTCACTTCCCTTATTAGAAAACCTTCCCAGCCGGTTATTAATGCACGAATAGCAGGAAGGACATCATACATACCAGGTCCAATTTTTTCTGGCAAAAATGTGCACAGAAATATTCTTGTTGAACTGCCAACACCAGTTTTAATCCAAAGCTCATTGAGGCCGCCCTCTATGTAACTTATTCCGGTAGTAAGAAAAACAAGATGAAGACGTCCGAACGGATGATAAAACAACGATATATATGTTTTGGTTTTGTTCTTTAATTAATTTAAGTTGAGATTTCATCGTGTATGCTTTGTAGCACGAGTTACTCAGATGATATAAAAATTTACTGTGACAGACAACTTTCAGTCGCTTTCTTTCAACGCCATCCTCAATTGATGGTGCAACCCATATCCCATCCCATCCCACGTCCATTTTCGGTTCCTAACGTTTTCTCAATAGAAGTCTCGGGCAGATTATACATTTTGAATCATCTACATTCTACTAGAACGGTCTGGTCAACAACTTTCGCCGACACATGCACGGAGTACCAATTGCCAGAAAATTTGCATATCACACATTTAAATGTTATTGCGTTGGCTATGGGTAATTAAAATGATGATAAACAATAAAAGTCAGTTTTTCGCTACTTACCATAGTAAATGTACCAGATATATTTAACATCTGCGAACTATACATAAACGCAGGAAATCTCTACTGATCGTAGCCAAAGCCCAGCCTACAAAGGTCAGCTAAAAAGAGCACAACAATGGGTGTGTGGTATGTTAGTTGTGGCCTTTTGTTCTTTTTTAACCAAATAATATGAGAGTGACGGAAGGAGGGAAAAGACATTTCATCCATACATAGCACTTTTAAAGATAATACAGATGATATATACCTTGACCTAATCCATGCTGTCATTTTTTTTATCTATCAAAGCGATAATACGATTCCCCACTCAGATTTTCGTGACCTTTTGACCCCTGGTGACCTCAGTTGAACTCGTTCTTCAAATAGATAATTGGAATGAAATAGCATGCCAAGGCTAATAATTTGTGCAATGAGCAAGATTGTTAGAAAGAAAACTACGAAGATAATGAACACCCAATTTATCCTATCCCTGATTCATTGGTCGAAATGTATGGGCGTTTATGAAATATATAAATTCTCGCTAATTGCCGGGATTCAGGAATGGTGACCAGGGTTTTGTTATTAAGGAAGTGACCATTTCAAAAACTCTTGCTCTAAATTTCGGGTACAAACTTTGCACACGAGATCGACCACAGCGGATGCATTAATATCAGTGAAATTTACCTGTAAAGATTTATCGTATTTAATTAAGACTCAGTTACCTGTGACCTCTAACACGCATGATTTTAATGGCAACATTTTTTAAAATTGGATTTGACCAGTCTCTTGCTACAACAACATCGCAATAATAGCCAGTATCAACGTATTTGATAATTTCATATCTGTAACCGATATGATCACCAGGGACCTCAAAAGAATAGAACAAAAAACATTGAATTGATTAGGTTAGAACAGGGGTGGGCAAATTACGGCCCGCGGGCTGGATCCAGCCCACCGAAGTGTTCCATTCGGCCCACTTGTGTCTGCTGAAATCACGACTATACTTTTATACCATAAATTCCCGCTAAAAACAACGTCATAATGACCCCGATTGTCACATTGTGCTTCCTGCTATTATATAAACGTTAGCCTAGCTGCTATTGTAAATAGACTGTTTTTATTCATAGTTTTGAGTCTGCGGCCTAGTAACCAAGTCTATTATGTGTAACTAGCCCACTCTGGAAAGTAATTGCGCACCCCTGGATTAGAACATGCAAAAATATAAAGTGCAGATTTCTCTTCACCATGTAATAATAATCAAAACTAATATATTTATGTGTTACCATTTTATAGTGACCACTGACGTCATAATTTCCCTCAGATTCGTTTTCAACCAATGTATCAAAATCAAATCCAAAATTGTTTTTGCCGTCTTCTTTCAATTGAGTTTTGTTGGCATTCAATCCGAGGTAATATACTTTTGGATAGTTTAGAATTTCATATTTCTCCCAGTATGGTAATTTACTCCCAAACCTACGGATTGCGTCTGTAATCAATAAGAAGTATTTATCAAATGGTGTCCCACGTTGTGTCCTTGATTGGGTCCCACAAAATAAAATGTTTTAATTTGTTATGCAACAATGCCGTAAAGCCGCTGTTTTGTGTACAGCTTTGAAAGTTACAGATCGGTTATCGTTTCTTTTTTGTTTGCATTGTTTCATACCCGAAGGCGTAATAGCCCTCTGCAATCCCGCGACATGGCGGAATGATGGGATTACTCACTACAATTACAAATAACATTTCTGATTGATCATTACAAAACGAATACAAAGCTCTAAAATGCATTTTCTTTCTACAGTACACATATTGCAATTACGAAAATCTGATAAATATTCAAGCCACATCAAATTGACAAATTCGAACATATATTATTATCAGAAGCGAGTTCAAATATGTCCGTACCTTCTGGAGACATCGGGAAATATTTTAGGAACGAATCTTCAACTCTGCTCTCGTTTACTAATGATTTTTCAACTTCGTCATAGTTTTTGCGTCTATAGAATTTAACTCTGCTGTCGCTTAATTGAAAAATATCATTATAAAAAGATTTCACTGTCAAGTTCAAGTTTTGGGCCTGAAATGCCACTTCTGCTTCACGCATAACCCTATAATACAATTCTTCGCGATTGACGTTGTTTAAATCTTCGTACGAATCTTCTTTGCTTGTATCTTTCACGAAAAAGGACTTTTTGTCTTTATCAGCAAATTTGCTATTGATGATAAAGTGTAACAAGGCAAATGGAACACATGCTAGAATAGTATAAATGATTTTTCTTTTCGTCCTCAAGTGGAACATTCTCTGTGAAGAAAATATCTGATTAGAATTAGGATGGATAAAAGTGACAGAAATAACACAATGATAAATAAACCTAAAGTGTTATGAAGCCGAAATTTCACCCCATCGATATTTCTGTTGTAGTTCTTATTACACTCTGACATTTTATCTCTCAATATTCTATCTGCATATGGTTCTCCCCCCATTAGTTTCTATTAAAAAAAGAGTTCTATTTCTAACTATTACAAAATTTGTTAAACGAACATTCATTTGCCATCCTGATCACGATATACTCTACTTTGGTTTTAAAACCTTTCAAAACGCAATATATCCGATACAGTAATATTATAACAAGACGCTCTAAAATACTGCTAAATTTTTTTAGTTTAAATTGCCTCAAGCATATTAAGCATCCAATTTTCGGACTCGTAGGTTTTATTTGCCACTTTGTCAAAAGCGCCCGCATTTTAAAATACAGTATTCGTCGTATTATCATTATCGACATGGATTCCAATTAATTTTTTAATCAATTTAATGTTTCACTAACTGTATCGATAATGACCCAATAGTTGTGAGAAATAAATAATAATTGAAGTATCAGAATTGCTGATTATGAAAATTTGACAATGATAAATTCAGAATCAGTTTTAGGTCGAAATACATTATCCACGATTTTATTGCAAAATCGTATATATATTTAATGTCATCCAACTTTATGATATCTCAAAGTAGAATCTGCACATCAGGCACTGAATATTCGTCACATAAATGACATTTAATAACGGGGTCGGGTTTTACTAAAATACTTTCAAATGTCCGAACCACTCTTGTAGAAGAGCGATCATGAAACTACCTCGATGCGTGAAACATCACTCTGCGGTTAACCGGTTAATTTTACCCGGTTAACAGTTAACGTGTTTTCCCTGAAATTCCCAGCCTCACAGTTATATTGTTTATTTGTGAATTCTAGTGACGATTTATCGAGCGATATACCCTTATGGAATCAGTGTTTTCAAATAAATTTCAACCTCATCCGTGATTAGCGTACTATCTTGCCTGTAACAAGAATTTCGTCCGAGTTAAGGAATTTTACACAACCGTGAAACGTCGTTTATATCCGGCACTGGATTGCACCCATGTACATCTGCACTTGCAAACATTTTCACCCACGTACATTTGTACCCGCGCACAACTTTACTCGCGAATGATTGTGTTTCAGACAAACTTTCATTTCTTCATAAGTAAATTATTCGTTTATTAAAAATTATAACATCTTACAAATTGTAAGTGTAAAGTATGTTTTAAGTGATTATCATTGGTATGGACATTTCAAGCTTCGGAATAATGCATAAACATGCATGAAATAAACAATTTGAGTAATACATGTCCAATTTTAGGCACAGTCTGCAAAGGTTACTAAACAATCGGCCAACAAAGGTAGCGCCAGCGGTATTCATTAAATAACTATGTTATACAATAATATACAGGATCTGAAATATGATTTTCTTTTCCAGGCCTTCCAATGGATTTACCAACATTGATACTCACATTAACTATGCACATATGTCTAAATGCGAAAGTGTTTGCTTCGACCTTCGATATGTTTTCAGTAATCCCATAATTTATGGCAGAAGTTCGCATGATGCAGTTTCGATATTTTGACAACAAGATTTGCAAAAGAGCATGGACTAATGCAAAAACGAGAATATCGGTTGGAAACCGAAGACTTATCGATCGATAGTTAGTGGATCCCCCAAAACAGAAACTGCAGTTTCGATTCATCCGCTCTTGTAACTTGCGCACTGCGCATCGCACACACACACTCGGCGGGTTTCAAAATTCTCTCGCTTTACAAAAATCTAGATCACTATATCAATAATTGATTGATAACTCGCTAATTATACGACATAATTCGCCCAAAATCAATAGGCTTCTGGTCCGAGATAAGATGAATGCACATGCAAAATCTGGAGCAGATTCAATCTCGCTTTCGTGAGATATCGCGTGCATCTAACAGACACACACACAGACACACAGACAGACAGACAGACAGACAGACAGACAGACAAATACCTATCAATATACTTACCGATCTTAAGATCGATAAGTAAAAACTTAATCATTAATTTTCAGGTGCGTTAGGACCATGTTTATTTGAAAATGATTATCAGTGCGTAATATGTAATCAGTAAGAATATATGTATGCTCAAAGGCAAATTAATTTTCAGTTTTTATTGAAAGTTGCTAATTACTATTCTGACAAACTGTCAGATGAACTCTCATGCACAAGTTTGAACTGGAATATTCAATTTCCATAAAGTTCTGTTGTAATAGGGTATTTCAAATAGTCATAACATCCCTATTATAAATATTTTTTATCAAATTCAAACAAATCTCTAATGTTATGCGTGATGATATAATACGATATTATTAGAATGATTAATAAATCATAAAATTAAATTGCTGTAAAAACGGGCTATAATAGTATTTTCGCGAGTTGAAAATGTTGCAAGCCCTTGACTGGATAATGTATACCGGCAATAGACTCAACCAACCATCCTGCCATGCCAATGTTGGTCAATATGAATACCAAGAGGCTCAACAGAAATATACAATGGCAAAAGATTTCAGGTAATTAACAACTTGCAATTTTATGCTGTTTTATTTGCCCAAGATTTCAAAATAATAACTCTAAAGATGTATTTACCAGTGGCGGCGCGTGGTCATTTGACAACCGGGGCAAGCTACTGCGGGACCAAGTCACCCCCATCTACGGGGACAGGATGAGCGCTGTAAGTTCTCCCATCATTTTATGAGTATAAAAACCATTCCATCGGTAACAACCAATCGGCAAAAGCGACAATTTTTAACGATAAGAAAGTGTCTTTAAAACCGGTCCAAGTCAAGGGATTAATAAATATAGACATAGTTTATTTTGAAACCTCTTTCAAAAGGAAAGGCAATATTTACCCAGATAAATACAATGACATATTAACAGAAACTTCGGGAAAGCAGACAAAACCTAAAATAAGGTTTAAAACGTTACTATAAAGAAAGGAAAGTTAATGCAAAGATAAGGACATGCGTCGCTCACTCATAGATATATATGCTGCTAGACTTCTACTGCTTGAACATATATGCAACACGCCGCGGTTTCTTGGAAGCAAAATGCTCAATACCGCGCTGATTAAAGTCATGCATCCAAGAAATAACGTCTCTGTGAATGGATAAAACAGCCAAGGCATTTAATCTATCTTGCTTCATCGTGTTTCTGAGATACGTTTTAATACGCTTCAGCGTGCTGAATGTTCGCTCTGCGTCGGCTGAAGAAATAGGCGTCGTCAAAATGATGTCAAGAAATTTTGCAGACGCCGCAAAGGTAGTTACTAGAGTGTTATCTATGAGGAACCCATAGAGCGCGCAAGTTGATGTGATGTTCAAAAAAGTTTGATTGGTGTATATACATCGCAATTCATTTTCCAATTTACCCACGTTTATCATGGGGTAAAATTTGGAGACAGTAGCCAACAAATGGATGGGAAATTGACGTGCAAATTTTGAAAAATTTTTGGGGTTCATCAAAGAGAACGCGGCAAGGTGTTCAGTGCGCAGACGATCGCCTATTTGATTCACCAGAATGTCACAGCATTCCTTTGCAGACAAAATCAAACGCTGCGTTGTTTGCCCGCGGCGTAAAGAAGCACTCCATGTGTCGTCGTATTTTATTGTTTCCCGGATACGAGATACAGCATCGCAGAAGTCTGAAATACACGACTGCACAGACGCTTCATCCATTAGCCTTGACTGCAATGCGCCGTATAATACATCCACGTGATAGAATATTGTGGAGAAAAAAGCGAGAAAAAATGAAAACTCACCATCTTCTAGCAGACGCTTTAGACCTGCCGCCTCCCTCACAGAGCGTTCGTCCCAAACCGGAGAGCTCTAAATGCCATTGAAACACTCAATGAGCTCAGACCTAATTTCGGACACGCCATGCACCACGCGTGATTGGAAGTTCCAACGTGTTGGTGCACAAGCTGGGAGACGGCGGCTACATATCTGGCGAAGGAGGTCAGAGCGCTTCGGCGAAACGGAAAAAAATGAAGAAAACCCGGAAACATTTGCAAAAAATATACGGACGAGAGGGGTATCAAGACACATATTTTTAATAACGAGGTTAAATTGGTGTGTATAACAATATAAAAAATGCGCATGAGGAAAATTTTCTTTTATATAAACTTGAACACCATGTTTCGACCCACTCATGACTGCCGCGCCGTCATAAGTTTGAGCTATCAATTTTGACTTCGCGTTGTAAGGCTGTAACACTTCTTTCAGTACAGCCGATATCCCGCAAGCCGTGCGATCAACGATTGGTACAAAGCTGTGAAATCTCTCGGTAGGTTTACCATCTTTCACAAACCGAAAAATAACAGCCAGTTGGGAAACGCACGTGATGTCAGTTGTCTCGTCAGACTGAATCGAAAGGAACTGGCAATTCTCAATTTCCAGAGCCAAATGTTGTAAATAAATTTTATACATTGAGTCGAGCAAATCATTTTGGATATCCTTAGATGTCCCTTTCGAAACAGTTGCGGCATCAAGATGATCTCTCAATACTGTATCTAGGGATGCGGTGTATTCCACCATATCCAAAAATCCCCCTCTATTAGAAGAGCAAATTTTATACATTGAGTCGAGCAAATCATTTTGGATATCCTTAGATGTCCCTTTCGAAACAGTTGCGGCATCAAGATGATCTCTCAATACTGTATCTAGGGATGCGGTGTATTCCACCATATCCAAAAATTCCCCTCTATTAGAAGAGCCAGCCCGTTCATCGTGCCCACGGAGGGACAGCTCGTGACAACCAATGAACTTCAAAACATCTATCAATCGACCGAGAACATGGCGGTTTTTCTCGACGTTTTGGTTGTGCCGACGAATAGAAACCGCGCGTCCTTCATCCAACTGTGTTGCAATATTAACATTCCCGAATGTTCGGTATTTTACTGCATTGTCCAGATGCTCCATAGAAGATTGATGATCCCTGGCACGCTCGGAAAGATGTTTAAGATCTCTTAAACCAAATTTACACCAACGTGAGTCACGGGCGGTAGCAAAAAGTGGGCAATAAAAACAAAAAAGTGCATTTTTGTCCTCGCTGTAACACAACCATTCGTGTTTTTTATACCAAGTTTCTGCGCAGAATGTACGCCGACGCTTTCCTCCGTCATGGGATTGTTCCAGTGAACAATTTTTTGGTTGATAAGGCCCAAGACGTTGTACCTCTAATTTATGTTCCAGCGGCAGCTGCGAAAACGGAGTGCGAAGTAGTGCATCAACCTTATTCATTATGAGGTCTAAGGCTATGAAATGCGAAGCCGGAAAGAAGTGAGGAGCTCAAAAGGAAAGTGGAAAATCGAAAGCAAATGGACTAAAGGTCTCTAACTGATTCAAATAGCGAAACAAGCGACAAAAACGAAGGCGAGGAAACTATCAACTCTTCAAGCAACCAACGAACGAGAAGGAATGCGTGAATATGTCAACACGTTGTTATAAGAAACGTCGGCATTGTGTCGTCATAATTTCGGGGCTAGCCCCGATCGGCCGCGATGATTTAGTAAAAGAAACAGAAAACAAACGAGACAAACGCGGCGAGTGGAAGATAAAAGAGAGAATACGATATACAATGAGCAACCGGGGCAAAATCGGCGTCGCCCCGTCGACGTTCGGCGAAGGCTTTGCGAGCGAAAAAATGAACCATGTCGGGAGAATATGGCTAGTGTAGACAGTCTGTGCAACCGATATTGAGGTATTTTTCGAATATTTTTTATTATACCGAAAAAACAACAGGGGCATTGCCGCGATTGGCCTTATTGACGCGCCGCCACTGGTATTTACATACCTAGGCTATGCTATATCGATGGCGAAGATGAAAGATCTAGAAGAAGGCGAAAAGCCGACATCGACCTTCTACGAGAGAATTAGGAAAAGAGCAAAAAAGACGACAATTGACCAACTAATGACCGACAATCAATTGGTGGTATCTGGTCAAGAAGAAATTGTAACAACTGTGGAGAACTTCTACACGGACCTATGGGGGAAGGAGAGCGAGACGCAACAATCAAGCCAAAACTACTATATATCGCTAATGGGCCAGACAACAATAGCAGAGGACGAAAACACCACTTTGGAAAGGCCTATTACGGAAGAAGAAGTATATGATGCCATCAAGTACATGCCAAACAATAAATCGCCAGGGCTCGATGGCCTTAGTAAAGAGTTTTATATCACGTTTTGGAATTTAATTAAAACTCATTTTATTCAATTGATTAACAATATTTTCTATTTCGGCCATCTACCAAACTCTGCTAAAACTGCGAAAGTTAGACTTATATACAAGAAAGGCGACGAAAAATTACTCAAAAATTGGAGACCAATAACCACCTTAAATACAGACTATAAAATTATTTCGAGAATTTTGGTTAAGCGCCTTGAGCCAATTCTGGATAAGATCATAGGCAAAACTCAAAAATGTTCACTCCCCCCTAAGGAGCATCGAAGACGTGCACTACAATACGGACGCAATCATAAGACACTGTAAAATGAAAAATATCCCCGGGACGATAATTTTTAATCGATAACCTAAAAGCTTTCGACAGGGTCAACCATGGTTTTCTGTTTAAAATTTTGCAACAAATTGGAATTGGAAATAGGGCTTTTACTTTATTAAAAAATATGTATACAGGAATCAGCAGCAAAGTGGATGTGAACGGGAAGCTATCGAATGAAATAACAATTCGAAGGGGAATTAAGCAAGGATGCCCGATGAGCATGCTTTTGTACGCCTTAAATACTGAGCCCTTCGCCAGATCTATATTGATCAATAGAGATATACATGGGATAAAATTAGGAAAATTTCGAACATAAGTTGGACCAATACGCCGACGGTGTAACCTTTGCAGTTCGCGACTATGAATCAGTTAGCGAAATGTTCAAAGAATTAAACCATTTCGAAATAGCAACTGGCCAAAAAACAAACATCGAGAAGACAGAAATACTGTACCTTACAAAAACCTCGCACCAATTAATTTTCAACTCCCCATATCGGACATACATAAAGAAACACACCACAATCCTTGGCATACAATTCGGAGAAATAGGGCTAGAAAAAATGTGGAATGATATTGCTAACAAATTAATTCGAACTCTAAATTATATCAAGCTACGTAAATTAACTTGGTATGCTAACAGATTATTATAAATTCAATATTAATGTCTGTAATTATATTCCATGCCCGAGTAAAGGACGTCCCACAGAAAACCGTCAAAAGGATTCAGAGCGCTTGCTATAAATTCCTATGGTACCCGGAACTAATTGAAGCCAAACGGAGATCAACTTTACAAAAAGCGTGGAATAAGGGGGGATCAACATGATTGACCTAACCGCAAAAATTAAAGCTTGCAAAGTGGAAAAAATGAAACAAATTGTACATGACCGCACCAAAAATCAATTCTGGCAAATGGAGGCTTTATTTTCATTAGGATCCAAAATTAAAGTTATCAACAAAAACCTCTATAGTAATTCTAGGCCCCATAGCTTAATCACCCCAAAACATTGGACCAATATCTTGGACATCTTCAAAGAAGTTGGCCTTTCTCGAGACGAGTGGGAGACCGCGCGCCACAGAGACCTATACCACAAATTAAAGATAAACCACATCGAACAACAAAACGATCCAAATTGGAATAAAGTCCATCTCCGCGAAAGGTTCTTCCGATCCAGCTTCACCAACAGCGAAAGAATAGTATCCTACCGAATATATCAGGAAGGATACATATTCGGAGATAAGATGAGAGGAATGGGCATTCGATTCAAACCATCTGGCGAACTTAAGATCATGAATTGTAAATTCTGCAAACTGCCACTAGATAGTTCCAAGCATCTTTTCCTCCCCTGCCGCCAAACAGCAATATACATCGCAGAAACCACGGAAGCAATCAACGGATTATGTAACACAAATATTACAATATCAAGACAGGAAATCATGGACAATAGCTACGACGGCCCACAAAAACTTCTGGTCATTAAAGGTTTCACTATCATGAAGATTAATATAATAAAAAGAAAAATCCAACTGGACAGAGAAGACAGGTATTCGAACAGGTATACTGATAAAAATATTCTAGATCAAACTCTAAAAAAAATTGACAGAATTTCTCACCCTACTCGAGACTTAATTCGAAAACCTGGAAATATTTCGTATCAGAAAAAACTGGAAACATATTCTAAATGGATATGTTACAAATTGATGAATCCACTTTGACTATTTTATAAATGACGCCATACCTCCACCTCCCATAAATGGGAGATTAATTCAGATGATACCATCCATAACTTTCTGCGGAAATGATGAATCGGGAGCTTCTCGGTGGATGTCATAACACGGTGTACGTGTTACACGCCTCACAATATGTACCAATATTTACGGGGGTGGCGGAAGTTGAGCTGTACTAAGCATGGCATTGACGGAAGCCCTGGGCAGACGTCCTGCTATTTGGCACATAGCATGTACTGATGCTCGGGGCCGAAGTCTTTGCCTTGCAATACATAGCGGATACGGAAGCCGCCTTATGTGTATGACCGCTGCTTACGCAGTGGCATGCTTATGAAGCGTAATACCGATATGACTCGGATATGACGTGTCTTCAAGACACTGATCCGAGACTGGAAAAACTCTGATCCGTTGGAAAAAAAAAAATATATATATATATATATATATATCGATGCATAGGAGTTTTTTATTCATCTCCTCTCCAAGGTTTCCAAATTTGAAAAGAATATGTTAATATGTTGAAAAATAATTATAATAATGTCATAAAACATTAAAACCACACAGAGAAATGACTTCATATTAGATTTCTTACAGGTTAGAAAGGTCACGTTTTTTAGGTATTTTGCTTAGTAGATATCATGTGAACTATATTAGACTACTGCCAGATACAGTATGAAAAGCGCGGCGACAACGCTAGCGCTCTCCGTGAAAAGTCCAAAGTAGTAAACTACCACTAGATGATGTAGGTGACGAAGAAAAAGCAAAGCCCATACCCATATATATGCGTAAAAGCAGGTGATATGGGCTTTGCAAAAAAGCAAATGACTATAATACCGTAATGACAATAAAGTGTTATAGTCACTCTGCGTAAGGTCATCTTGTTGTTATCAAAGTGACTACTGGACTATGGACCTTTCCCCGACCTTTGACCCTCGAAAAATTCTCCCTATACTTTACCATTGCAAAATTGTCAGGGCTTTTTTAAGAGTGCTTTTGCGAGTTGGCGCCTGTAAAATGGGTATGTGTTTCAAACCACCATTATGTTTCATCGCATACAACTATCTGTTTTTTAAAAGTACCGGTAAAGAATTTCAGGCTAGTCTATCACAGCTATTTCTACACTAACTTTTATTACTGCAATTAAATTAAAACTCCTAGAAAGACAGAGTGATCATTGAATTATCTGATTTTTATTTAAGTTCCCAAAACACAACTGAAAACTAACGAATAGAGTTCAAAAATGCGAAAACGAGGTAATGTTTACAATCACGCTTGAAAATCTGTCTGAGTGAGAAAAGTGTCTGAGCGGATGCAAAAAGGGGGCATTGTTACGTCACTTTTTGCATCTTACTGATTGGCCAATGTCACGAAGTAAACAAGGAAGTCGATGCTCGGGGAAAGGTCCATAGGGCAGGGTTGCCATATTGGCTTTTTTAATGCCAAATTTGCCATTTTCGGCTTTTTTCGAACACGTTTGGCTTTCTTTGGCCTCTTTTAGTGTCTGTTATTAAAATCATATGAAATACAATATTTTTGTTTAACAATAGTCTATTGCTTAGCTACATAACATTTGAAATTCCCCTAGCATCCTTGTTTATTACCTTAGGTACGGTACTGCCTTAACCATAACCAATCAGATATAATTGCAGTCTCTGCAGCCGCTCAGACAGATGTTCAAGCAGGTTTGTAAACATTGCCTCGTTTTTATTTTTGCTGTTATTTGTCAGCCCTCATGGCGAGTTAGCCTCCACCCCCTGGGAGTGGTTAGATATTTTTTTTTAAATAAAAATGATGGATTCAAAATGTTCAGGAAAAATGTTTTAAGGTATACAGGTATATCACATACCGGTACTGAAGCGGCACCCTGTGTATATATTGAATTGTGGATTAATGCTGTTCGATTGATGTTTTTATTTATTTATTTTTTTCTCAACTTTTTCATATAGATGTCAGCTTAACTGTATTATGTCGAATGTAGATTCTGGTGATGTCATTCAATTAATCATTTTTACTTTTGGATCCTTCATCCCGCTGAAGTGGAAATTGTCATGATAGCAACCGAAATTACAATTTTTAATGGGAAAAGACATTTGTGTGGATCACTAAATGAACTGATGGATCTACATCACCATATTGCAAACCCATTATTGTGCCATAAGCAGGGTATCCCTAAAACCAGGCACTTGCGAATTCAGGCACTTTTTCAGGCACCATTTCAGGTACTTTGATATTTTTTTATTTTTACCGTACGTTATTGGGGTTTCCAATTTACCTGACAAGATAATTAGACTTTAAATAATTTTTTGCATCTCTATATTGCAATAAAACAATATTATTTCCAATTTATTAGAGTATAAATAATTTTTCAATAATAAAATGTGGCAACATTGATTACAAAATACAGAAATCAGGCACTTGTGAAATTTCAGGCACTTGGTCAAAACCTATCTTACAATGTATCTGATTACTCTAAAGCAGAAAATTAAATATATACACTTTGTATGGTTGAATTTACAACATTTTGGTAAAATACAATACCGTTTGTGACTGATGGAGACGTGTCATATTTCGCAAGTGCCTGATTTTTCATTTTTCTCGGTGACAGTTGCCATATCTTTTCGCAATTATTTTCTTAAATTATTTGCGTCAGCACTTACTATTCTTTGCTTTCTAACGCAAATTCATTGTTCCACAACAATTTGAGCGTTTTTAATATTGTAATGAGCAATACCATTTGACAACATATGGTCAACCATCGTACTTTCTGGATTTATTTGAAATTGAATATGGATAATAAAATCTGGCAACCTTAAGCACAAAATACTAAAACCAGGCACTTGTGAAATTTCAGGCACTTCGTAAAAACCTATTTCTCGATGTTTTTACTTACTTTGAAGCAGAAAACTAAAATATACACTCTTTTGTATGATTGAAATGACGTCTTTTTGGTAAATAAAAGAACGATTGGGACTGGTGATGAGGGGTCAAATTTCGCAAGTGCCTGATTTTTCATTTTTTTCGATAACAGTTGCCATATATTTTCGCAACAATTTTTCTAAATTATTTGCGTCAGAACTTACTAATCGTTGCTTTTTAAAATAAATTCCTAGTTCTACAACAATTTCAGCGTTTTTACAATGAGCAATATTATTTGACAACATATAGATAACCATGGTATTTTTTGGATTTATTTGAAATTGAATAGGAACGATAAAATCTGGCAACCGCAAGCACAAAATACTAAAATCGGGCACTTGTGAAATTTCAGGCACTTTGTAAAAAACCATTTCCCGATGTTTTTGATTACTTTAAAGCCGAATATCCAAATATACATATTTTGTATGACTGAATTTGGTATTTTTATTGTCCAAAACAAGAAGAACTGTCACTGGTAGGAATGAGGCAAATTTAGCAAGTGCCTGATTTTTTGGTTTTGTCAATGGTAGTTGCCATATCTCTATAATTTTTGTCTTTTTTTTATATGTTGTTTCCCTATTGCGTTTTTTTATAAAAGTCAATGTTTGTATGAGAGCTCCACTTAGCATAAATGGAATTAAAATTTTAACATCAGTATCTACATCCGGAAATCGGTATTTAATTAAACCAATCACGCTTTTGCAAAACTATTTGAATATTGTAAAGTTTGAATGACATTGTGTTGTTTATTTTTATTAATTCAAAAGTATGACATATCTATTATTTAAATACGGGTTTAAATTTGACAGATCTGTAGGGAATATTAGTTATTCAGACGACATCTTTATAGTAATGTTCGGAACCCTTGAAATTGGTTCAAAACTTCTTCTAATTTGTTATAAACATTTCGACGTAATATATTACCCAGGTAGTAGCAATCGCATCGTTATAAGCAACCTAATTTGTCTTCTGGCAATATTAGTTCGAAATTCCAGTTTTAATTGTTATCGGACGACGATTTTAATAATGTAATTTGGCCTATGACTTCATATAAACTACATAACAGAAACAATTGACTTATGTCGTATAGAATCTTTTATAATACGTATCCAAGTCACATTATCCCCTAATAGAACATAATTTACCGTTCACAAAATGTATAAAAGCCTGTGCAAAATCTATATTGACAACCAGCGGTGTTCAACCACGGCTACAATTAAGATATTCAATCACTTGCTGTTGCTGTTGTATAATATTCTTTACAACCTGAAGATCTGACTGTAATATCTTTTCATGGATAGTTTATGGAATGGATTTCATGGATAGTTTACGTAGAATTATTTGTACATTATTTCATGCTGTAACAGCTAACTGTAAAACACGTAGTTCCTAAATAAGAAGAATGGCTACAGGATGGTAAATACGAAATGGCAATGTCACCTAAACAAAATTCGCTCGGCGAATGACATCAGGTAGCTGATATGCCCAAAGTTAGGCTTAAAAGCATCGTTAAACGAATGTTACAATAAAAATCCTTCAATATTCAACACGCCAGTAGTCAGTCAACGAATTTTTTTGCGTTATTCAAAAAGTTACAAATATATAAAAACGTAAAACAGTAAATGTTTTTAATGTCACAGAAGCCGTATTAAACTCTCGATTATAGATCTTTCTCCATCAGTAATTGGGGATATAAATTTGAATTTAAATTCATTAAGGAGATAAAACATTAAAAACACTTCACAAAGGAAGTGTATGAGTGAACACTAATCGAAGCTTTCAGTTTGAAAATTATTAGAAATATTGAGTATCCAATGAAAATCCTCACTATTTGTTCTATTTTGACATGATATGATTTACGTATCTTGCAATCAGGTAAAACCACAGATCTAAGAATTGAAAATTTTAAATGTCAGTTCTGAAATTAAACATGAAAAGGTTTCGTGTATATTTTCCTACTTTTATATGTCGGGCGTATAGTATCTTCATGTCGCGAATGAGCATCAGAATAGGTTGTGCAGAAAATGGTGCTCCCGTAGTATGTGCACAAAGTTGGCACACAACCCGAACATAGTATGTGTACCAAGATAGAGGTATTAGGTTGTGCGCCATCTTGGAGCACATAGGCTACTACGGGAGCGCCCTGAAAATACCCACAGTTGCAACACCAACTTACCGAATACAAATTTTACACTTCCACAATTTCGCTTTCGATACTTTCTCATATGTATCATGATACCAACGCTTGCAAACGCAGCATTGGTATTGTACGTGCTCCCGTATACAGTTCGCGCTTTAACAGACACTCCAATTATTATTTTCCAGAAAGCAAAATTCATGCATCGGAATGTCAGAGTATATGAGTGGCGACGATGCAGTGCGACAACGTTCCAAATGTGATTGAATTTTTGTTGACTCCGCCTTGTTCAATCTTCCATTTGGGCGTTTTGAAGAGCTATGTACTCACTTCAAATATAAATACTTGCACCATCTTCGGGCAGACGTCGAATTGAAATTAGCGATAAGAATAGCACTCAATATACATCGGATTGTCTTAAAAACATTTTACCGAGAAAGCAAAGTATAGTAAGTACTAAGTTCTGACGAAAATGATTTTATTAAAAGTATTGCAAAAATATATGGCAACAGTAATCGAAAAAAAATGAAAAATCAGGCACTTGCGAAATTTGACCCCTCATCACAAGTCCCAATCGTTTTTCTTTTTTACCAAAAAAGACGTCATTTCAATCATACAAAAGAGTGTATATTTTAGTTTGCTGCTTCAAAGTAAGTAAAAACATCGAGAAATAGGTTTTTACAAAGTGCCTGAAATTTCACAAGTGCCTGGTTTTAGTATTTTGTGTTTGCGGTTGCCAGATTTTATCATTCCTATTCAATTTTAAATAAATTCAAAAAGTACGATGGTTAATTATATGTTGTCAAATGATATTGCTCATTTTAAAAACGCTGAAATTGTTGTACAACTAGGAATTTATTTTAAAAAGCAATGATTAGTAAGTTCTGACTCAAATAATTTAGAAAAATTGTTGCGAAAATATATGGCAACTGTTATCGAAAAAAATGAAAAATCAGGCACTTGCGAAATTTGACCCCTCATCACCAGTCCCAATCGTTCTTGTTTTTTACCAAAAAGACGTCATTTCAATCATACAAAAGAGTGTATATTTTAGTTTTCTGCTTCAAAGTAAGTAAAAACACCGAGAAATAGGTTTTTACGAAGTGCCTGAAATTTCACAAGTGCCTGGTTTTAGTATTTTGTGCTTAAGGTTGCCAGATTTTATTATTCATATTCAATTTCAAATAAATCCAGAAAGTACGATGGTTGACCATATGTTGTCAAATGGTATTGCTCATTGCAATATTAGAAACGCTCAAATTGTTGTGGAACAATGAATTTGCGTTAGAAAGCAAAGAATAGTAAGTGCTGACGCAAATAATCTAGAAAAATTGTTGCGAAAATATATGGCAACTGTTATCGAAAAAAAATGAAAAATCAGGCACTTGCGAAATTTGACCCCTCATCACCAGTCCCAATCGTTCTTGTTTTTTACCAAAAAGACGTCATTTCAATCATACAAAAGAGTGTATATTTTAGTTTTCTGCTTCAAAGTAAGTAAAAACATCGAGAAATAGGTTTTTACGAAGTGCCTGAAATTTCACAAGTGCCTGGTTTTAGTATTTGTGCTTAAGGTTGCCAGATTTTATTATTCATATTCAATTTCAAATAAATCCAGAAAGTACGATGGTTGACCATATGTTGTCAAATGGTATTGCTCATTGCAATATTAAAAACGCTCAAATTGTTGTGGAACAATGAATTTGCGTTAGAAAGCAAAGAATAGTAAGTGCTGACGCAAATAATTTAAGAAAATAATTGCGAAAAAATATGGCAACTGTCACCGAGAAAAATCAGGCACTTGCGAAATATGACACGTCTCCATCTCCATCAGTCACAAACGGTATTGTATTTTACCAAAATGTTGTAAATTCAACCATACAAAGTGTATATATTTAATTTTCTGCTTTAGAGTAATCAGATACATTGTAAGATAGGTTTTGACCAAGTGCCTGAAATTTCACAAGTGCCTGATTTCTGTATTTTGTAATCAATGTTGCCACATTTTATTATTGAAAAATTATTCATACTCTAATAAATTGGAAATAATATTGTTTTATTGCAATATAGGGATGCAAAAAATTATTTAAAGTCTAATTATCTTGTCAGGTAAATTGGAAACCCCAATGAATTACGGTAAAAATAAAAAAATATCAAAGTGCCTGAAATGGTGCCTGAAAAAGTGCCTGAATTCGCAAGTGCCTGGTTTTAGGGAGACCCCCATAAGCATCAAATCATGGGGCTTTTGTACTTAGTAAAATTGTTGACTTTTTCTGGCTTTTTTATGTCTTGATTTGGCTTTTTTTGATCACTGGGATCTGGCAACCCTGCTATAGGGGACGGACTAAAAGTAGACACTTGAAAATTAGGCACTTCGAAAAAAGGAGGTAAAATAGGCGTAATAACTTTTAAAAACATAATGAATTAATTAAAAATATTAAGATTAGAATTAAATATTAGTCATGCAAATTGCAACAAGTAAACCAATTGGTAATATTTAAAACGTAGTATTATAAGGAAGCGCACACGCTCGATCACCACATATGCCAAGCACTTCAAAAATTATAGAAAATGGGAATTAACCATCTTAGTCCCGGTAAATATCTAACGAATATACTTGAGTCTAGTAATGTTATTTGAGAATGAAAAATTAAATATCGCCATACAAATAGCAACAAGTAAACCCATTGGTAATATTTAAAACGTAGTTTTATAAGGAGGTGCACGCGCTCGATCACAACATATGCATGCTAGGCACTTATTTAGACACTTTGAAAAATTCTTATAATACTACGTTTTGAATATTATCATTGGCTTTACTTGTTGCAATTTGCATATTGTATATTTAATTCAAATTAATACAAATTTTCAGCAGCATACTGGCATAAGCAATTATTTTTTATGTATTGAGTTTAATTTTTGTTGCAATCTGTTCATTTCTGCATTTAGATGGTGAATATTGTACTGTTGTAACCTTAGATTAAAAATCAAGAACCAGATAGTGATTTTTGACAGCAAAAAATGAATTCCAGCAGGCTTATCGTATTTCGACTCAATCCACTCTATCAACAATCATACAGGATTTTAGCAAGACGATTAACCACTCGGAATCTTGAATCACTCAAAATTGAAAATCAGAGCTATTTTCCCAGGAAAAATTGCTATCGACTCTTATCTGTTTACACTCCCCTATTTTCACAAAATGAGCAAACAAACTCGATGCCTATAAGTGAAAGAATTGAAAAAATGGTCAAAAATAAAAAAATCGTGATTTTTATGAAAGGAGTTCCTGATCAACCTATGTGTGGATTTAGTAACGCAGTTGTACAAGTGTTGCGAATGCATGGAGTTGAAGATTATGACTCACATAATGTCTTGGAGGATGAAGAATTGCGTCAAGGCATCAAAGAATTTTCTGATTGGCCAACAATTCCGCAAGTCTATTTTGAAGGAGATTTCATTGGTGGTTGTGATATTTTGCTTCAAATGCATCAAAGTGGAGATTTAGTAGATGAACTTGAGAAGCTGGGAATAAAGTCTGCTCTTGTGAAATGACAAACTTATAATCGCTTATTCGTCATGAGTCACTAATGCGCCTTTGTTGAGAAATAAGGTTTACACAAGACTTGTAAAATATTCCGCGATGACATAAAAGCCCAATATTCGTTTAGGTTTAGTGACATACTTCATAGTGATGTATTTTTACAAGATGCAAAATGTTGCATGGATAGACTGTATACGATGACCCCTGGTAACAGTCATTGTATAATAACTTCAAATTACTGCCTAACATGTTGCATTGTTATTCATTAATTTGCATGCCCCCAGGTTCACATAATATGTAATTTGTTTGTGTGAAGGGTTTTTTAATATGTCATATATATCTGAATTACTATTTATCAGTGAACTTTTGCAACAAAATAATTTGTTTCAGATAGAGACATTCTGGACTTGAAATAATATGTCTTGTTAATAAAACCTATTCCCACCACTGTTAAGTCGACCTAATTACAATAGTCTTGTACATTTTTTTTTGGCTGTTGTATCCGGCCTACTCAATTAAATTCATTTTGGGCACATTTCTTCGTTCAGAATTTCTAAATATCAAATTGGTTTTAAAACTGATATTGTAACAATAAAATGCTGTCGAATTGGGAAAGAGGGCACTTCTCATTTTACCTATCTTGCTCAGTCGTATGTACCGGTAAATGAAATATTTGCTATTATGTTTGTACAGAACATCTCACGAAAATTGATCGGGCTGAAAATGGTTGAATCCATACGGCAGTATGTGAAATATCGTAATTGTATATTTATGAAAAATGTTTGTGACTTTGCCTTTCATAAATCTAATTGTGAAAATGTCAGCTGTCAATTTGTGTTCTGTTCGACTACTTATTGTTCTATGCTTCTTCTTTAATGGAGATCTGTGTGCGTATGATGTACAGATGTTTTGGCAAGAGTACAGATCATTTTTCTGAATAAGTGTATAGTTTTTTGCGTATTAACTCGATTGTATTTGTTTAAAAAATATCACGGAAAAAAATTTTACGTTTTTGTACAATGGCGCTCAAGTAAAAATATATTACTCATAACAACAACATTATTTCAGATGTTTTTCTATCCCAAATGTAATAGGCCTACTCATTGATATGTACTTAATCGTGCTCGCAAGCCAAACTTGTTGTTTGCTTTCAAATAGATTTATTCACTTAATCAAGTATATATAATGGCGGAAAAATTTGAACAGCTGGAAGAGAACTTGGAGCAGTTTATCGAGAATGTTCGTCAACTTGGAATTATTGCTAGTGACTTTCAGCCTCAAGGCCAGGCAGTTTTAAACCAGAAAATAAATTCTATGATAACAGGCCTGAAAGACATAGAAGCATGTAAATCAAGTCTACAAGGAGTCAATATACCCCTTGAAGTTTTTGACTACATTGATGATGGAAAAAATCCTCAGTTGTATACAAAACATTGTATTGAAAAAGCTTTAACAAAAAATGAGGATGTTAAAGGTAAAATAGAAATGTATCAGAAGTTTCAACAAGAACTTCTTTCACAATTATCAACTGTTTATCCAGAACAGATGAATGAATATAAGGCTTTAAGAAAGAATACTTGAAATGGGATGCGATGCCTTGGTCTGGCTATTGTCTCAGAATTCCGTTCACAGTCGAATATGGGCATGGTGCTGTCAATGGATATTATCCACCTCTACGATAAAATATGGACAAACGGAATGAGATTAAAGTCACAAATTCTTCCTTACTGTTCTAGGGACAGTATCTGAACTGATGGAAGTTTTGCGTCTGAGGATATTTTTGTGAAAATCCACAAAGTAGTCGTTATCTTGTTATATAATACTTCCTAATCTATTCTACATAAATAACAAAATTATGATATATATAAGACTATTTTCTGTGATCAAATTAATATTTGTTTGAACAAGATAAAATCTGACTTATATTTTGAAAGTTTCAATATATAATGGAATGGATATTGTCAATGGTTATGTTATCAAGCTTGGTTTTCCCAGCAATTCAACTAACTTACTGTTATTGCAATCTGATTAGATCATCATACATCACTACTATGATAAATTACCGTATGTGTATTAATTGGGAGGCAAAAACCCAGTAACTTGGTATAGTACAAAAAAACTGCATGGCATTAACCTACCCGTAAATATTGGGGGTCATTTAGATTTCTGACATTTGTCTGTCAGATGTGTCAATAATTTACTTATTTCTTATCAAGGAATACCAAACCCTATTGAAAATGATATCATTGGCAGGTTAGGAGGGCTCATCTTATGGCTGAATGTATGTTTTGATAATTAATACATCTCTCAGACTTAATGAAAATATTCAATGTTTGAAGTCTTTATCATTTTTTCATCTAATAAAATGATTTATTTCTGTTTTTCTTAGGTACATATATTATGCCAGTTGTTATTAGTGTTGTATGTTCATTCTGTCATGAGTCTGTTTCCTGCGGCGGCCACAACTACTTTTAAGAAAAAGGAAGACAGGGGACACAAAGATTGGTTGAAAAATGAAAGTTTTCTTCCTGAAACAGCATCTGTACTAACTGAGTTAGAAGACAGAAAACATGAATCTGATACACCAAGTGATGATTCTAGTGATGTGGTTGAAACTAAAGTGAGAATATCAAAAAGTAAGAAGAGGAAAAAGAAAGAGAAGCATAGGTCACTCTCCCCAAAATATAAAAAACAATTGAAGACTGCTGACAGTGTTAAAAATGAAAAATTATCAGTCATAGTTGATCAGTTACGTTCTGACATGCCAATATTTCAAGCGGATAAAATTCCAGATATGGATAATGTACATTTTGGCAGACTTTATAAAGTTTATACATCAAAGTATTATCGAGACCTTGCATGCTGTGTTGGGACTCCAATATGGCAGTATATAAAAATCAAAGAATCTAAGAAAAAGAGAAGAAGAAAGCGCGCAAATGATGAAACAAATCATCGCTATTTTGGTACAAAATTGCCAGTTGCTGATACTTTTTCTGGAATTCATAAGCAAGGAAGAAAACTACAGTTTCTCACTGACAATTATATTGCAATAACTGGTAATTCGGAAGACCAAACAAATGAAAATGATGAGATAGATTCTAATGAAACACTACAGAGATCTATAACAGAAAAACTCAATCGAAGGGTGAGAGAAAACCCGCAAGATATAGATGGATGGATGGAACTACTATCTTGGCAGGATGAAGTTTTTAAAGGCAGTTTGGTACACGGAAGATCCCGTATTATCTCTGAAAAAAAAATTGAAATTTTGAATCAAGCTATCAAAGCCAATCCCAGAGATGCAAAATTACACTTGATGAAATTACGTTTGAAGTCGGAAATAGCATCTGATCATGTTACACTTGATAATGAATGGGAAAATTTATTATTTCGATTTCCAGATAATATAGAAGTATGGAGAGGCTATATATTCTACATTAATTGTAACAGTGTTTCAACTTTCAGTCTTAACCGAACAAGAAGAGCATTTTCTCATTGCGTGGAGATTTTAAGATCAATTAAAGATGGATTATATAAACAAGATACATCTTCTGAGATATCTGCTGAAGATAGATTGGTTGAGGTGTTTCAAGAATACACAGACTTTTTATCTGCCACTGGACACATGGAACAATTGACAAGCCTTTATCAGTGTATGATTGAGCTAAATTTTCGAAGTCAAGATGACATAGGTACATGGGCAGAACACATTGACGCTATCAGACAATATTTTGTGAGTAACGAACCAAAAGTTGGTGAGAAAGATTCAAAAGGTTTCAATGCTTGGATTATGAAAAACCAAACTGGTGGATGGGTCTCAACTTCTGACAATACAAGCATGACAGAAGATGATATTGAAGATGACGTCGATCCCTCTTTAAATCTAACCCAAAATTGGTTAAATATTGAAAAATCTCGATGTGATAAACAATGGTTACGATGGCAGCCATCTTTTGAAGGTGATGAATGTCATGATTCTGAGAGGATTGTGTCATTTTCTAGTATAAAAGATTTATTGTTCGTCGTTGATAGCAAACTGTTAAAAATTGTGATTTTGAAAAACTTTGTTCGTATCATGGGATCTGCTCAACATTATGGTTCAACCACATCCAAACCCTTGTCATCTCAGAATATATTTTCATTTAGTCATCCAGATCAGGTTTTAAAACAAGATGAACGTTTATATGGAATGAAGCCATTACTTTTCCGATCATTTGGTTCCATTGTTGCATCGAAACATACTTTTCTGTGTGAAGTATTTTGCCAGCTCATTACCTCCACCTGTGATGATGATCTAAAGACTATGCTTTGCGGTGAATACATGACATATCACGAACACCGAGTTATATGTGTTTTTATTGAGGGCAAAACATCCCAACTTCGTAAAACTGGTAAAGAAGCGAGAAAGGCTGCCAAACAGATTTTAAGTGACAAACCCGATCTGTTACATATATGGTGCAGTCTTGCAATAATTGAATGGATATGTGGTAAAAGAAATGAGGCTTGTAAAATTTTTCAAACTACATTATCAATGTCGGTAAAATCATTACAGACAGCAGATAGGACTCAAAAGAGAAAGTTGTTGGCAGATATTCATTACATCTGTAAAACATTTGCAATTCTTCATTTAACCATGTGTGAGACTTGTTTTCCGTCATCAAATCACACAGACTCAAAAACTTGTGATTTCAAACTTGCAGTTATACGTTCACTGTGTGCTTTAGGAGATAACTATAAATTTGCTGAATATTTTAGTAAAACTGATTCTAATTTGCATTCTGTTAGTATAATGAAAGCATCAGCAGGATTTACTCGACTTATAGAAGAATCGCAATCATTATATGAACAATTTGCATTTGAAAAAAATGATCTAAATTCAGATGCAAATCCGAGTGATTACTTTAATCTTTTCATTTGTCAGTTTATTTTTTCAATTCATTCCAAATCACAGATACTTGTTAACTTTGAAAATGCTTTTGAATTTTTACACACAAAACAAATCAGTTGCAGCAAACAAGTCAAGATTGATCTCGAACATTTATATCACTATAGTATAAATATTTTACAAGTTTTTTCACCACAATCGCGAAGTATTCATACAAAAGTTGTATCAGATGCTGCCACAGATTTCCCGTTTAACACTTATTTTGCTGAGAAGCTTGGAGAAATCTATATGCCATCCTATTTATGCGGAAATGTTAGAAAACATTACAGAAAAATTTGCAATGAGACAGATTCTGTGATACCTTGGCTTTGTGCAATAAAGTTTGAATTACATCGCAGAAATAAACTCTTGAATGCTTGTATGTCATCATCTGATAATGTAGAGTCAAAAACTCATATTGATACTCGAATTCGTAATTTATTTGAACATGCACTTTCTGTTGGAACCAACATGGGCTCGCTAGTACTCTGGCAGGCTTATTTGGCAGCTGAAATAGAATTTGGCTCTGATAGGGTTCAGTCAGTGTACACCAGAGCTATAAATTCTTGTTCTTGGTCGAAAGAACTACATTTAGCAATTTTAACTGTGAATCCTGATTTGCTTGTTGACGTTGTTTCTCATATGACGAAAAAAGGTTTGAGAGTTAGGACCCCTATAGAAGAAATTCAATTGCTTATGACAATTTAATATGTTTGGATCACCCTCCTTTAATTAAGTTTTTTCTAACTTGATTTATTCACCTTACATGAAAAAATATTTGCATTTTTTATGAGATGATCTATATTCTATGCCACTTAGACATAGAGAGCCGTTGGGAACTTAATATTTTTCTTCCCCTGACTTCTCTGGGCGAAATGGGTAGACTTTGGTTGAACAATTTGCTAACCAGGACCTGACCTAGTACTCTAAATTATTATGCGATCCCTGCGAAAACATCTGCTTATTTCCAGTTATAAATATTTCCTGCAATTCTTTATCCCTTAGTGCTAATTTATACATTTTTATGATTTATTTTTGAACATTTTATTTCAGAATAAATTACAGGTTAGGTGCCTCGTTGGCATATTTATAACGAATTTGGTGTAATTCTGATATGACCGATCGCTTTACGACTGCTCAACATGACAAAACATCAGAACCACTTCCACTTGAAGAAGAATTTCAAGGTACCTCACTCGCACAGAGAATATGGATTGGTAATGTTGACTTGAAGGTGACAGAATACACTATGGTACAGATTTTGAAAAAGTTCGGATCTATTAAACAATTCGATTATCTGATACATAAAACTGGTCCGCTGCAAGGCCAGCCACGTGGGTTCTGTTTTGTGAGCTTTGAGAAAGAAGTGGATGCTGCCAGGGCAATTTTAAAGCTTAATAACATGAAGGTCCTGTCAAGGCGTATTCAAGTACGATGGGCTCATAATCAACCACAAGAAAAACCAGGTCCCAAGGACACCCTCAAACTACCATCTGATACAGATGATGCAACACAACCGCAAACCAAAAAACTGAATCCCAATTCCTCAGAGGCAATGATTCGAGCTATCGAAGCAAAACTGAATCAAATGGAAAGAGTGAAAAGTTCTTCCTGCCCTTCTTCCATGCAATCGTCTTCTGGTAGTCAATTGCATCCAGCTTTGGCTCTTTCTAAACAAAACGCTGCAGCTGCAAAAGAAGCATCTCACCCTTATTATAGAAGAAAACGTAGGCGGAGATAAAATTTATCCATCTAGTTAAAAGTTAATCATTTGACCTGTTTGCACATCACTAGTAGCTGTGTTCTGATTGTACACATTGATTGCTCTTAGCATAGTTTAAGCAGGGTTGCTCCATGTGTTTATTTCTAAAATCTACTTTTAGTGACTACAAGTTTTCCACTCTCAATTAAAGCTCATCACCCCAGGTTTAAAAAGATTTGGCAATAACTCCTCATGAATCGCAATTTTGGCTGTGAATTGTCGCATATTTCATATTATAACTGAGGAATAATGAAATTTTGACTATTTGAACTGATTTTAAACTATTTAAATTGGAAGTTTATTCTTCAGTCTGAAGTACAATTCCGGCCTCTACTTCCATATCAGAAAAACTCAACAGCCCTATTTTGGGGCATCAAGTATCATGTCGTATGTATGTTAAAAATCATATGTTATCTGTGTAAATACAGTGACTCTCCATGTATTTCTTTTTTCTATCTTACAGTTTTTATGAAATGAATGCAAAAAAACACATGTATACATAACTTGGTATTCCTACTAATGTGGTTTTATTTGCTTTTGTATCATATTTCATAGTATTACCATGTTTTGATTGCAATGAAGATGAGCTGTTAGTAACATTTTTGCCGAAGCCAGCACTAGTCTGATATCATCGACACAGAAGTATGTTTCAAATTGTTTTTGTGAACTTGAATATAATTTAAACATAATATTTAATCCCATCATAAATGTTACACGCTTGTGATCATTCATTTAATGAAATTTTGAGGCTTTTTTGTTCGTTGCTGAGAGGGATGTACATTAAAATATTTTCATTCAAAAATAAAATTTGACTATGGCTGGAATATTTATTTCTTTTATATAATGTAGTTTTCTGTCCATTTATAACAAAACTAGGGATAATGCTAAGCTATGCTATCAAACTTTTTTTAACAAGTAACAGCACAATTGCCTATTTGTTTAGCCTGTTCTATTCAGCTTGCTGCTCACCAAGCCTGAGTATTTATTGTCTTACTTATTTTTAATGTTTGTTTTTACAATAGTTAATTTATTTAATAAGTGATAATATGGGAAATACAAGAAGCTCGGAAGATAAGTGCATATTTTGTAAGATATGCCGAAAAGAGCATCCTGATTCTAAAAATATTTTGGCTGAAAATGAGAAACTGGCTATATTTAGTGATATAAACCCTGCAGCAAAACATCATTATCTTGTTGTACCGAAACAACATATAAATAATCCGAAGACTCTTAACACTAAAGAGCATATAGAGATAATCAAAGAAATGGTTTCATTCGGAAAGGACTATCTTCAGAAGCAAAATGATGTCGAAGAAAAAGACACGAAGATTGGTTTTCACTGGCCTCCATTTATATCTATTGAACATCTTCACCTCCATATTATATGTCCTGCATCATCGATGAGTTTGTTGCATCGTGCAATGTTTAATAATTCGTATATGGTTGATCCAGAATATGTGATTGATAGGATTGAATCTAAAATCGAATCTCAACTTTGATGATGTTGTATATGACTTTTAATGTAATTATTTGTAACTTCAATGTGCAGTATTATTATTGTGAGTAATCTACCTGATCTACTGAGTTCTTCATGTTGTAGTATATTTTTAGTTATTCTGATTGGTGACGTTATTTTTTAATTTTATGCATCATTTTAAATTTTTGCATGTCACTGTTTAGATATTTGATTATCTATTTTGCATTTTAGCTCATTCCCACGAAGTATATAACATGACTGTCAGTGAATATCAGGAGAATTGTTTAATGTATGTCATCATAGTCAATTGAGAGTAATAAGCTTGTAAGGGGTGTATTCATTACTGTACAGTTCTTAATTTCATAGCTCTTGTCTTGCAGTTGATCATAAACAATATGTTTCAAGATGACATTGACAGAACTGTGATTCAATGTCATGATTTCAATGGGAAGCATTTTAGCATACTTCTGATTATTCGATCTTTTTCCATGAGTTTCAAATTTGGAATGTTTTAATGTCGCCTGTATTTGTTGCTAATTTAAATTATACTATTAACTGTGGTAGTCAATTGTAAATTTAATGTTTTCCTCTTGTGAATTTTTCTTGTAAGGAGGTATTTAGAAAGCAAAAAACATGGCATCTAGTTATCGAACTGCAGTTGCATCAAAAATACAAATTTCATCTGATGAAGGTGAAGTAAATAGTAGTGACTCAAATAGTGACGATGATGATATATCATATATGAAGAAGCGGGCAAAGACCAATGCAAACAATTATTCAGAGACAAATAAGCCTGCTGTACAAAACAATTTTACTAAACCCAAAGGAAGTAAAAATGCAAATATATGGGGATCAGTTCTGACTGAACAAAGTTCTCAGGATATATCAACAAATTTGGGAGCTGTTGGCATGCAACATCTAATATCCAGGTTAATAATTTCGAATCTTTTTTTAATAATGTTCTATCAATTGGGTGTATGCAAAACCATGGACCCAACTTTCTATTTTGCTGTTTTTTTTCTGAATTAGTATAATCTATGTGAACTGTAGGAACTCTCAAGAGTTAAGATGACTTATCCAAGTTATTTAGTAGTCTTGTTGCACACTAGCACAAGCAGCATTTCTGCTTCGAATTCAGCCTATAATGCACTAGAAGGTGAACTGAGCTGTTGTTGCCAAGTGTTTGAAAGCCTGTATTCTCTCTCAATTGCCTTGGAATTTGTCATTGCATTTAGTTATTGATATTTTTGTTACACTGTCATCTGACCTTGATAGTGTAATAAACATACTAATTTATTAAGTATCAGACCTATTTCTGTTTCATAGTAATTCACTTTATGGGATTCACAAAAGCTCCCAAAAAATTTATTGCTGTAAGTTTTTGAATATCCCGTTCATAGAGCCTATTGTACATTTTATGATTCAAAAATTTCTCAATAGAGGTCCAGAATCATTTGATCTTCCTTCACATTTTGGACACAAAAGAAGAGATGTTGAATCTGATTCCAATGAATCTTCTAATGACGAATCAGAGGAACAACATAATCAATGTTATGACACAGAAATGCAACAACATAAAACAAATGAAGCAGGAAAAAATGGTAGAGAACATTTGAATTCTATTAATGTAATATAATATATGCCCATTTCGAAAGAGAGAATTATTATTAATAAAACTAGTCTCATATACTTTGAGTGAGCACACCTTCAAGACAGGCTATTCAGACCATATGTAACGAAGATAAAATATATACCTAATCAAACTTAGTTCCGGTCTCAACTTTTTTAATCTTCATTACAAAATACTTCCTTTGTTGTTTAGGGTCTCATGCTCAAGGACGGCGACGAAAAAGGAAAGCGAGTAAAAAGAAAAAAAATGTTCCGACATTCAAGCCGGGCCAGGAGGTTAATCTTAATAGAAGATGTGAACTGGCAGATACAGATCCTGTCGACAAAGTAGCAGAAGAAATAGCGTTCAGGTAGATTTCAGTTTTTTAAAACAGATAGCATCTAACTTGATAAAAAAGAGTGCTAGATTTTGTTTTATAAAGATATGCTTTTGCTTATTGAAACTCTGGCGCTCCAGAAGTATGTGTACCAATATGGATGTAACTACCGGTAATTTTGTTCGCTTATTTTACATCCAGTTGTGTAAAGGTACTGTAACTAATAGCAGTACCGAAAAGTTGGACTATGAGAGTGAAACATAATTCCATTGATTAAGATTGTGCTGTAAAATCATTTGCCATGATTGTTCAATATTCCGCAAAAATGTGATGTTATTTTAATAGCGGACGATTCTTGGGGCAAAATACTTTTATATCCCCAGCATGGATATAATGCTCTATAAACCTCCCAGTTCTGCACAGACATAACTAGAAACTGGTTATATATATAGCACTATGCACATAACAATTGGGTAGTATTCAAATTAATTTTCTGATTCTTTTTTCTGCAAGTTTTTTATCTTTATCTTAGTATCATCATTATTTCTATAGATTCCAACATATTCAAATTATTGCTTTGTTTTGATAGGTTGTGGGAACGCAAAAAAGATTTAATTCGATCTTTGACAGAAACTCTAGGTGTTAAAAAAGCTATTGATTTTTGCAACAAGACCCAAGATATTGAGAAGAGTGGGGGACTTTTAACTATGACGGTTTGTATTACATGCATACTGTGATTTAGTTGGCAAAGTGGATGTTTTAGAATTTTGTAATTGAGCATTGTTTCATTGAACTTATTTACTTCATTATAAATAATTTTATATTTGTCATCTGATTGTTCAAATAGCAAACTGTTCTCATACTCAATCTGGACTGACATTGACAATCAAGCAAAATAGTTTCGTTTCATGCTTGAGCTACCTTTTCATATTTGTCAAAATTAAATTCAGAAATCTTGTATTTCTTTACGTAGTCAAACAGCCTTGCTATGCATGTTAACATCTTTTAGTTATATCTGTATTTTTGCAGGGGTTGAGAAGAAGAACTCCGGGTGGTACATTTCTCTATCTTATAAGAAATGATCCCAATTTAGATCAACAGCAAATTAATGTAAGTGCATTAAATATTGACTATGGATCTAAGGTTTGGTAATGTGTACAGCGTTTTTAAAATACTGATAATATTTCCATACTGACTGACATATACTTTCTCCCTTCGCCGATTTCCATTAGAAAATGTTTCATTGTGCTAAGCCAAGACAGCTTTTAGATCTTTTTTATTGTATATGTACTGATAGAATTTTTGGCTACACGAATTCATTCCTTCTATGATAAAAGTCTTTGATAAGACAAATCTAGACACTATTAGGTATTTTGTCTTGTATTTTGTCTCTTTGTTTTGTCAATTATCCAGCTTCCATGCACTGAATCATCCTCTGTGGCCCATTTCAGGCCCAATTGGTATTTAAATTCAAGATTAAAATATTCTTGTTAACCGTATTATGATATTAAATTTAGTTCACTCATACCTGTAGCTGTATATAATTTTTACAGAATATATTCAGTGTAGAATCTGAAAGGGAGCGAATGCAATGGGAACAGCGCAAAATCGCTAAACGGAAAAAGAAACCTGAACCAATGGAACAAATCCCAAATTCATGGAGCATGGCAGAATCTAAAGATGGACATGAAATGGATTTTAATACAAATGACATTTCCATACAATCTAGTAATATGTCAAAGACTTTTGTTGCTGATTCGAACACTAACAATGTGAATAGCTTCTTTGAAAATTCTTCGAAAGTAATGGTCAGTGGGTTTCAAAAATTACCCGCGGAACTTAGTGATGGAGAAGTTGTCGATACTGATGAAGATATTGAAAATTCTACCAGTTTTGGCTGACAACAGAATCAAATCCTGTGCTGCCTTCAATTTAATAAGCACATAATTTATTCAAAATAGAGCGGTTTTTAGCTCAATGTGCTTCTAAAGCATGAAGCCAGAAATATTTGATTCCATAACATACTTTTTATTTAATGGCAACAAATTTTCACATATTTATATACAAAATATTCATGATTTAAGGTTCAAAATTAGAGGATTTATACTTTAGGATCCAGGTTGTCAGAACCAGCTTCAAAAGCACCTGCGGTTTGTATTGAACAGACTGTGTCATTGAACTGCTGGCTGCCCTGAATGTGGTTCAACTCCAGCGATATTCATGTTGAGAAGGTTGCTGGTTGTTCATGGGATGTTTCCCACAGCTATTGGCTCTCCTATTGATATTTATGCTTCCAACAAGTTTAAAATTCACAGTTCCAAGACTACATCAAAATACCAACTTGAAGGAGATATTAAAATATGGCTATCCATCCATACCAGCTACTTCAACTTTTAATTGAGTAGTTTTAGCATCAAGTCAGCCAGCCGGAGTACGAAGCACTCATTTGTGCCTCAGGATTGGATGTACCTGTGAATGCGATATATTTTTCTAGCATGTGCAACTTTCTGCAGGAGCCACTGTGCGAATGAAGAGACATCTGCTTCTAATTGCATGATAAATTAATATGAATTAACTGTGATTTAATTGAATTCAGAATAATAAAACATTATGTTTTTTTCATTCACGAGCTTCATTTTTTAATTGTACAGTTCCGAACAAAATGTGTCTAGAAATAAGCCTTGCCAAAATTTGGTAAGCTTATGTTGAGAAGTCTGAAATTAAATCAAAATATAATTCTCATTGGTCTAAATAGGATTCATTTATAGTACATATTTATCCCGAAGGGGGGGGGGGGGGGGGCAGAGACCGCTTAATCATATGGAGAACCACATACTCTCATTGGGTCAAAGTCAGATTTGTGATTAGTTAGCCAGTTATTTGTTATCGGAGGCATGACTTTAAGGTAGACCAGCGGTGATGTGTGTTAACCACCTTGCGGCGGCGAGGAGTCCAGGAATCTTCTGCCGAACTAGAATCTCTTGTCCAACAACAGGAATATTACTTAATGTTATTTATGGTTTTTGAATAGGAACTAAATGCGTCGGCATAATGGAAATCGCGCGAACATGAAATTTCTTCAAAATTAAGCAACCGGTTATGGTCACCAGATCAAGAGAGATAAGAATTAAATCCGATATGCATATGATATAAAAAGTACAATTTATACACAAGACAATGGGCATACATACATACACGTTGATCTAAAACAAAAATTAAACACAGATGAGGAGAAACATATTATACGCATCATTGACGACTGTGTCTCTGCGCATACTGCTGCGCAGTGCGCGAGTTTTGAACATTGCGTTGTTGTTGTGATGCTTGAGGATAAGTTTAATGTTATACGACGGCCAAGCGTAGGATGTATTACGTAATTTCATATTTTCTTCGTTGGTTATTTATTCGATGGCAGGTTTGAATCATATGTATCCTATGAACGTGTTTTAGTTACAGAGTTACATGTGTGATTAGGAATTTTGCTAATTCTGTATTTGACTACACTCAGACCCAGAGACCTGCAGGCACTGAAAGTTTCAAATAGAATAGTTCAGGAGGCACTGACTTCTAAATGAGGCTTGTACGGTACCGGTAGCCTACCAATTAAAATGTCAATTTTTTTTCAATATGAAATTTGGAAATTCGAAAAATATGATATTCTCTAAAATTGTTTCCTTTTCTGCAAAATTTTTTCTTATGATTTTCTGGATTTTATAGATCAAAGTTTGGTTATAACAGTATAACCTGCCGGTAATATTATAATACTGTAATATTTAGCATTGGGCCAGAATTTATCTAGTTAGTCAGCATTTTTTGATAAAAGTAACATTGTTTGTTTTTATATTCACCAAGCAAAATAATTAAATTGGCATTAATATAATTTCAACATGCCGCGCAAAAGCGAGGTCATGCAGATGGATCTGCAGCGGAAGTTTAATACAACTATGAGTTTGTTGCGGGAAATATGGGATGAAATTGGCATTCCAGATGAGCAGGTAAGGGTTCTAATTCTGGTACTTGATTGTTCTTATTATATTTGATAAATGAACCATAACTTATAATAAATTGCATTATCAGGGCCAAATTTAGAACTATCGATGCTTCTGTTTGGTATATTTCATCTTACTGCTTGACAGCTTGGGTGGGCAACTGATTGGAACAGAGGAGATATAAATGTGTTCTCCTATTTTCAGACTTATATTTGAAGTCGGATATGCTTAATGTTACTTCGCTTTAAATTAAAAGGGATGTACTTTCCTAAATTTTTGATTCATTTTTTTTACAGATAGAAATAAGAGGATCTACTGTCGCATTACATATTGAAAACCTTCTTGCTGGGATGGTCAATGAAGAAAAACATTTGAAGAAGACAATGTTAGAAAGTATTGAGAAATACCGAAATGAAATAACAGAAATTTCTGAAAAGTTATCTCTTCCTGATTTTACATCTACTGCTGGTATAACAATCATGCAACAGGAAAAGGAACTCAGGTTTATAAGCTTTCATTTAATTCTCTTGAATTTTGAAATCTCAGAATTATTTTTAGAATTACGAAATGTCTTTTGAAGATATGTGTTCAACTATTTTAGTAGTCGCTTGTTTTTAAAATACTTAATCCTTACTTAAATGTTTAATTTTTATAGAGTTGAACTAAACAAGCTGAAGAAACTGAAACACGAAAGACTAAAAGTATTGAAGGAATTACAATTAGTAGAACAGAAATTATGTGACCAACTATGTTCAACACCATATTATGTCCCTACAAATTCAATACCAAGTGATGAACAGCTTACAGGATTAAAGGTTTCTATTTTATTTTATGAAAGAAATTTTGCAGTGGTGAACTTCATTACATTTGCCTGACGCTCTATGTTTATTGGTTCATGTTTTCCATGATTAGAATGTTAAAAAATTCACTAAATTGAAAACAGAATAATTCCTGTCTTGCTTCTTGTAGAACATATATTTAAAGTAACTCAGCTGAAAATTCAAATTAGGAACATGTTAATACATTAGCACAAGGTTCTTCAAACTGAGCACAGGGCTCTTCGAACACTCCCCGACTCACCGGTGGGTCGCATCACCTATTATGGTCATAACTAGTCTTACTTATTCTTCTTTCTTTTGCCTTCATTCATCTGATTGAAAAATCTTTTTCGGCAATCTGGCTCATTTTGGGTCATGTTAAAACAAAATATTGATCAAAGTTGGAACTAGGGCTGGGCATTTCGAATCGAATATTCGAATCGAATCGAATAGTAAATTATTCGAATCGGTTCAGAGCTAAATTTCGAATCGCCGCCATCTTGTTTTTGTCTTTCCGCTAATGGTCGAGAGGAATTCCCCAATTTTATTTTCATTGGAGTCATATTTTTTCAACGAAATTCTAACATATGACTATTTTCTGTAGTGAGTTATCGATAAAACGTGTTTGTTATTTTGTATGAGCGCTCAGTAATCTATCTGGGTGATTTATTCTATGTCTTAGGTAATTTATATGTTGAGAGGACCAATTACTATAATAAAATCGCTTACAATTATATATTTTCAAGTATTCGAGATTCGATTCGAAAAATATTATTCGATTCGATTCTGAAATCACAAGGTATTCGAAAATGCCCAGCCCTAGTTGGAACAGTACTGACACGATTCGATCTTTTGTATGAAAATATGCAAGCACATCTCAATAAAGTTCATGAGGATCGCGAAAAAATTTGGCTGTGACACTGCTCTAGCACTTATTATTATTAAACTACCTAACTTAGTTTAAAAAATTCAATTTAGGAACATATCAATACACTGGAGGAAGAGAAAAAGAGAAGATGGAAAGTTTATCGAACTAAAAAATCACAAATTGTTTGTCTTTATGATGAATTAGAATTGGTTCCTGAAACATCTTTTGCACAGGTACACATGAGATATACTCAATTGTGCTGATAAATATGATTTTTATTGCAAAATAATTTGTGTATTTACTCTTTTGAGATATAGTTTGTTCCGTATAGGACTTTTTTAAAAATAGCGAAAGTCTGTGCACATAAAGCATATAACTGAATAACAATTCCCATGACATGGTCTGGTAACCTGTCAAGTGACCGGTCAAGTTTACCATATGATGAAGCTGTTTTTTCATAAATATGGGAATCCTAACCTAAGCTTAACTGTCAAAAAGGACCAAATGGAATAAGTGCTAGTACAGCTGACTAAATTTTATATACCCTTGGTGAACATGTGTAGTTGCCTAGTTGGACCATAGATCTGACAGAGTATTTCAATTTCAACCCATGATAATTAGTATAATAAATGTTTATCGGAAAAATTTTTCAGCGTTTCCAATTTGATTGTACAATACTACTTTTTATATACCGGTAGTAGTGAAGACTGATTTACTAATTCAATATATATATATATTTTTCAATTATATTTTAGGATCTTATTACGGAGATGGAGGATTCATTTGCTTTATCAACAAACAAGATGGATGACTTGGCTGATTTGCACAGAGAATTAAGTAAAAAGAAAACAGACATGGAGTTGGTTGTTCAAGGCTTGTGGTCACAAATTCAACAATTATGGGAACGTTTAGAGATTGATGAAAAGGAAAGAAAATCGGTCAGAGATTGTTTTCGGGGAATCAAACCTAGCGATATTGAAGGACTCAGAAAGGTAGGATATTTTAAAGCAGTATTTCCCAACCTTCGTTGAACCACGGAACACTTTTTATACCATATAACACTGGACGAAAATTCAAATCATATGACACGTAACATCTGAAGGTCTTTCATGAACCACCAGCATTTTGTGGGACACTGTTTGAAAATCACTGATTTAAGTCTCTCCCCAACGAAAAGTGAATTGTGCTCACTTAGTTTTGAAGACTTCCAGTTCCATGGTATTTATTATGAACATTCCAAACCAGGGTGGTCCAAACCCAGGCCTGCGGGCCACATGTGGCCCACCTCGTCATTATCTGTGGCCCGTGTTGCCTGTGCTGATGAGTAATCGAAAAATCGCATTTGATGTTTCATCATATAAATAACAGTAAATCTTTTCGACATCTTGTTACACTAATGTCACTGAATTGACTAGTGTCACGGCTAGCTGAAACAGCTAGCAAGGTTGAATTGAGTGTGATTGGATAGTCCAAATTGTTCACTGGAATTCTATCTATTTGGTTGGGAATATATTCCAACGGTTATAATAACTGAATATGATAAATAAATATTAATGTTATGGCCTGAGAATAAAAACTTTTGCATGTTTCAGTGATTTTTCTGGCGTATTTTGTATGATTTAACTCGATAAATGAAAAACGATTATCAATCGTTTGCACAATAAAAGTGTTTGTTGTTTACATATTTCTGACGCTATTGTGGCCCGCGAACAATGCAAAAATATTTTTGTGGCCAGCGAAGGCGACAACCTTGGACCACCCTGTTCTAAACCAATACAATTGGAACAAAACCAATACAATTGAAACAAGAGAGCTGTGCTCAATCATATGGAGGGAAAAATCATTTGCTTTAACTTACCAATATGGTACCTGTATCAGGGATTGTCCCAGCTTTTCCAGGTCCTATGGCGATGATCCATTCTTTATAATTCAGTTTCAATGTGAATTGAAATACCAACTGAACTAAATTTCAAAGCAATTGGTCTAGTAACTAAAGAGAAGCGATTTTTTTCATAACGATAGGAAGAAAAATTCTAAGAACAACAACAATATAATAACGAAACGATCCATAGGTGTCCAAAAATTATAATGTCTTCCAATTTATTACTTTAACACAAGTCGCATTTTACATCCTGTTTAAGCTACATAAAACATATGGTGCTCAACACCTTAGTTTAAGAAATTTAATATTGAACTTGATGACAAACAAAATTCCTGTTACCGAGTTCTGAAGACTCCTGCCTTGGATAACCTGACTTCTCATGCCTAACTTTGAAATGTCATACTTTTTAAATTTTAGGAATTATTCAAATTGGAGGAATTGAAACGGGCAAACATTCAAAAACTAACAGAACGTTCTAGATCAGACATAGCGATATTGTGGGATAAATGCTACTACAGTAAAGATCAGAGACATGCATTCTCACCAGCTTATGAGGAATCATACACAGAAGAATTGTTAAATTTACATGAGGAGGAACTTACCAGATTGCATGTTTGTATAAATTGTGCATTTTATTCCTATCTTAATTTTTATAATTTTCTATTTTTCACAAGACAAATTTTGGGTTTTATATGGTGTGTTCTAGTGGTGAAAAAATGACTAGCCGACGCCAATTGATTGAGGAATCAATTGCTTGCAAAAGTATATTTTGAAATATCAGATAATGATTCCATTGCTATTTATTATATTAGGTAGGGAGATTTCTATTCATCATTCGTTAAAATTTATTCTAAAACTCGGAAAATACTCAAAAAAAGTTCCACCTTTTTCCATCTATTGTGCGGTGCGAAACCAGATGGTTAATTTTGACTGATTTCCTTATTTCCCTGCCAAAGTTGACGTATAGCTCAATATGTGGGTTAACTCTTAGGTAGTTTTTCAAGTTTTTTTTAACCATAGTGCTTAGAAGAGTAGTAAGAGTACAAATAGCCAAATTGTACCATTGGCAAATGTAGAGCTGGGTAAGGCAATGCTTGTATGTTTATATTTGGTAAGGGTGCAGTTTGATATCAATATACAATAAATATACAGTTTAATGTGTGCCAATTGTCAAGAATATTTGTGTCATACATTTAGCAATTTTCAGTTAGGAAACTGGGCAGTTTTTCACATCCTCATCAAGATCCGAATTTTTTTGTAATGCAAAATTCATTTTTATACTCAGGCATATTATGAGGAGCATAAGGAAATGTTTTCTAATGTTGGGAAGTGGCAACAATTATTTTATAGAATGCTGGATTTGGAATCTAAAGCAAGAGATGTGAACAGGTAATAAATTTTATTGAGCCTGATCTATTTACAAACAATTTAAATAGTGCATGCCATAGAACAAATATCTTCATCTTGATGATACTGTAAAAGACTGTGATCTGCGTTGTACAATAAATAAGTGTTACACATAGAAAATCGGCATTTATTCTCAATGCTCACGAATTCACTGATGTACACATTACTCTCATTTGAAAATTTTAGAAATAGTGAGTTCACACTACTCGATGGTAAAATTTGACATATCATATTGATTAGTGAGTGGTACTGAACATGAATCAATATATATATTATCATTGTTTGAATATGTACTCAGGTATGCAAATCGTGGTGGAAATTTGTTACAAGAAGAAAGAGAACGAAAGAAGATTCATAAACAACTTCCTAAAATTGAAGAAGAGCTTTTCAAAGATATTGACAGGTTCATAGTTTTTTTTAACTTTTTTGTATCTGTTATAAAATGAATATTTCATGTTTTTTTTTTTTAATTTTTGACTCTTCACATTTAAATATTCATAGATGGGAACAAGAATGTGGAAGTAGATTTTTAGTTGAAGGAATCGCTTTTCGTGAATATGTTCATTCACAATGGGAAGCATGTGAACAACGCAAGGAGAATGAAAAATACCAAAGGCTAGTAAAGAAAAAACAGGTAAATAATTTAATCATCCAAAACAATTTTACAAAACCAATGTATCAGGATTTTTTTTTCACATATGAATTTATTACCATTTATCAGGAAATGGAATCAGAGATGGTTTACGGTAGTACTCCAAAAACACCAACTAAGCGTAGATTTATCGGCACAACCACAATACTAAAAACTCCTACGGATCCAAAGAAGGCAAGGCGAGGTGGATTGGATAATACATGTCGCAGTGTGCTCACACATCATACTACTAATATAAATAGGACTGCAGCTACTTGTCTTTCACCTTCAGGTAATTTGTGTATAGTTACAGCATTTCGGAGAAACACTTCTGTTACAGGTGGCTCATTTTGCTGTTAAAATCTGAGCAATTTATGATTATTCCGTATTTTATCTTGCAGGAAAGCCCCCATTGTCCAGGCTCCGAACACCAAGTAGTGCTACAAAGAAGGCTCGTATTCCGCGTACAAAAACACCTAAGAAACAGGATGATGCCGTTTCTATTAAAAGCGCCCCAGCAAATCATTCAAGAAAGACGTCACTCAGCACAACAGTGGTTTCATCAAGCACAACATCATCTGCAAAATCTGCTCCATTGTTTGAAGCTGATCCCTCTCACTACAATGATTTTGCAAAAGAAATAAATAATCAAGCTAAACAGAACAAAGCTGTCCGCAGCAGTGCGATCTATGATTTTAGACGATGAGAATTTTTAACAAAAGTTTAAATTCTTTGCTTTGCATGCTACTGCTCTATAACTATGGCAAAAGCTCATTTTTTACTGCCTGCGCTCTTCTTATCAAAGTGTGATGTTAATTAATTATTGGCTAGTTTGCTACCAAATGAATTGAAAATTAGAAGTAACTTTGCAGATGCTCATATCCAAATGATTTTCTGTTTTATAATACTTCGGTTGAAGACAGTTACTAACTATTAATTGTTTTGAAGTAACTGAATTTTGTTGCATGGAGTACATGATATGTAGGATTCTAATGTTGGTCTTTTCAGTTCTTTCATGAGCTTTTACTATATTTTGTCAAATTATACAAGCAATGTAATCATTTGGTGCGTTCATTTTATCATTGTGTTTGTGTATATTCGTGCAAATGTTGCCCCATTCATTTAATGTATCTAGTTTTAAGTGTGTCTGATTAGCATGCTATAACACATTTAATCACTGTCATCTTGTGTTAGATATCATTGAATCCTATTGTAAGAACCAATCATTAAATGGCAGTCTTGCCTAATGGGCACAAAAAACTTGTAAGTATAACTGTCCCTAAAAAATTTTTACAGTCTAAGAATGTTCTAAATGTAGTTGTCTGGTGGGTACTGATGCTGATGTTTTTTCTTTTCACCTTTGAATTGTAGGACTATGAATTTAGTTGCATATTCTCTAGAATTTGATTATTCTAAATTGACTTATATATTCCTCCTTTCCATGAACCTTCCTGATTTTCCCTTTCATTGAACTAATGTTTTTTTAAACATGTTTTGATCTGAAGTTTTCACCTCGAATATATTCAATGTTTTTGTCTTTTTTTTTATCTTGAAAGCGGTTTTCTTTGTTGAGCTTTTGCTAGATTCTGGACATGATCATTCGATGGCACTTGCTGGCAAATTGACAAATTTTTTGACCAAACAAGCTCTGTTAATGTATATTTTATATTGTTCATGTCGAGTATAACTGCCTTCACATTTTTATGTTAATCTTTGTTTGCTTTGCATAAGAGCGCATCGGGAATAAACTTACTCACCCTTTTACATTGTTTGTGTCCTTATTATGAAAATTGAATATTTGAAAAGGTCTTTTCAGGGAGAAATATAAACTTGCATTTTATGTAAGCATGTTATTCAAGACGTTTGTCAGTAAATAGGATTCGTAGATTATATTCCTTCATCAACGCACATGCTCATTTGCGTTGAGCGAATGAGCATGTTTACAACAATGACAACAAGCAGTTTACAACAATGACAAGAAAAGAGCAATCATGCAGTTTAAATATGGCGATAAATAAATTTGTTTGAAATTAATTGTGACCAAACAATGAAAAAACAATTATTGCTATTCAGAAACAGATTGCGAAATAAAAAAATACGATCGGTTCTCAGCATGGAATAATTGTTTTCTAAATTGTGGAAAAACATGCATTGAGATTTCCATTTGATATCCCTTCCTACAAGCGCAAAACTAGAGGGCGCATTTGGCCATGTCGATCTCACTTTGAAGTCGATGAAGACAATATCAGGCTTTCGAAACGCGTGCTGCGCTGCTTTTGTAAATCATTTCAGTATTTGGACTCCTGTAACTCCAGTTAACACTGACAGTACAGCAGTAGTACAGTACCGGTAGTGACCTAAGTCAAAAGAATTATAGCTGGATACAGCCTTAGTTTCTCTCCAGAAGTCTCCATTTAATATGACTGTACCGGTATGGTATGCATAGTCTATCTGCATGTTGTGATTATCACAATACTGCAATCTGGCAACAGCAGCAGTTAATACCGGTACAGTAATATGAGACTACTGGGCTATGGTACATACCGGTACTAATATCTGAATACAGTAAGTCATTATTTACACTTAGTGTTACTAGAAAAATTAGGGTCTCATGTACTTTCCTACCTAACGTACTTCTAGTAGGAGTAGCATAGCAATTTTTTCACGTGTCAATCCTAACCCTGTAACCCCCACCTGACCACACCATCCAAAAATTACATCACAGTGACGTAATAGAGTCCTCTACTATGCGAACTGTCAGCGCTGATGCCATTTCGGGCGATCGTACGAGTATTTGGCAACCTCTATGACGTGATTGTGACGTCGTAGTGACGTAATTTTTGGATGGCGTAGTCAGGTGAGGGTTAGGATTGGCATGTCAAAAGATTGTTATGCTACGCCTACTAGAAGTACGTTAGGTACGAAACTACACGAGACCCAAAAATTATTCAAGTTTCTATAGGCTGCTACTGTATGTCTGTATGTGCACAATAGAATGGTATAATTCAGGTGACTTCAGGACATATTTGATATTCCTAAACTTTTTCTCGTGAAATCTAACCTATCTATTCGATGATGCCCCAATAGCAAACTCTATTTCTGATTTAAGCTAAATTCAGAAATTATTAACCAAATGCTGAAATGGCGTTATTTATTTTGAGTTATACAGATATCCTATTGGCAGATTGGTGAACTGTTTATCCGCCATTTAACATTGAGACATTTGATTCAATGATGTTACTTCAGGCCATAGGAGTGCAGTCGGTCATAATTAAAAAATGTTGCCCCTTCTCCAAATTCATGGATATTCATTTTGTTCTGTCATATCATAAACATTGTGAAACTAATTGAGCAAATTTCAAACGGCATCAGGGATGGCCAATACCGAATAATTTACTATTTCGAATACATTCAAAATTATTATTTAAGTTTCGAATACTTCGAAAATAAATTCAATATTATCTTATCGTATGGCGGAATTAGCATACAATAAACAATGGAATAACCGTTACCTACAAGCTGGCTACCAGAAAATTTATATCCGTCGATTGCCGTGATATTTTATAGTAGTATGTATGCCCTTTTTATTTTTCGTAAGTACGAGAGTGCGAATCAAAATTAATTTTAATAGGGCAGTCTACCATTAGTTTTGTGTCCACGGATTGCTGTGGTATTTTAAAGTTTCTTTAATAAAAGTAAACATTCATTCTTCGTAAGACGACGCATTGATGAGTTAGGCTACATCGAACAAAAGTAAATTAATACGGAAGCCATTTTAAATGCTGTTATCAGTCATGGATTTACGGTAAATACTTTGCACAACAGATCAGTCCATACTTTTAACAATCATTATCAAAACTATTTGCCGAAAGTGTGCAAAAGTATAAATTATTTTTTTGTGAGTACGAAAATTAATTATAATCCAGCATTTTACCACACATTATATTTCTACAGATTCCGCGTTATTTTAAAGTTGTAATGCTTTTGTATTTTGTAATTATAATCAAGCAGTTACCACACATTTTATGTTCACAGATGGTCGCCGTATCTTAGAGTAGTAATGCATTAATTTATTCGCGAGTCTGCAAAACTATGTGTTACGTTAAACACAATTAAATTAATACAATAACAATAAGTCATTTTAAATGCTGTTGTCGGTCATGGATTTGAATATTTTGCAACATAGAATCATCTTAGTTAAAAGTCCATACTTTCAACTATCATTATCAAAATTATTATTTTTTCGTGAGTACGAAATAATAAATCAAAAATTAATTCTAATCGGGCAGTTTACCACACATTTTATGTCCACAGATTGCCGTGGTATTTTAGAGTTGTATTATTATTTGTTTTTCGTAAGTACTGAAATAGGTTTAAAAAATTAATTATAATTGGCCAGTGCACCACACCATTCAATGCTGCAGATTGTCGGTAATACTTTTATTTTTTTGTTAGTTGACGCAACCACGAGTTACGTTAATTAAACAAAATTAAATTAATAGCACAAGGCATTTTAAATGCTGTTATTGTTCATGAATTTGAATATTTTGTCGCAACGGAAAATCATCATAATAAAAAGTCGATACTTTTGACTATCATTATCAAAATACGGTATTTGCCAAAAGCGTGAAAATGTTTAAAGGATTTTTTCCAAAAAATCAACTCTTTTTTTCAGACATGAGACAATTTATTGGGTGCCATAATTTGTAACAAAGTGCACGACTTTATTTAACTTATTTATTATCTGACTATTTGTATTTATGTGACTTCCGTGACTTAATACAAATGAATCCGTGAATTAGAAGCATTGCAAGGGGATGGCGATAGTGCCAATCTTGCGACCATGCAAATGTGTCGCAACAATAAGGGCGCACGCTCGCACAGAAGATAATGAACAATCAAAGTGTCGATACTATTTCACCACCATTGCATTGCGCGACAAAGCGTTGAAAATCGTTTGAAGATTTCTCTTCAAATCGAAACACCACGCTGACGGCAAAAAGTGGCTATTATTCGAAAAGATATTCGAATACTTTAATATTCGAATACATTCGATTCGTTTTGGACAACCTCGAACGGCATATACAAGTTTAAGCCATCCATCTTCATTTAATCTGGAATCTCTTTCAGTTATAGGATAGGATAGGATTTACATATTTATCCCGGGGGAGAGGAAAGCCGATAAGACGGCTTATTCATATGGCGAACCACGGCCTCTCGTCCGGTTACCATTCCAAGTCCGGTATGGGATTAGTTATATTGTTTGTTTTCGGAAGCATGGACTTGGTGGTGGAGGAAGCCGTAACCGACCAGCGGTTACGTGAACCACCCAACGACGGCGAGGAGTCCAGCAATCCTCTCGCACATAACCATCCCTGCATGGGATTCGAACCTGCGAACCCACGCAGAGTAATTAGAGGTGCGGTGACGAGCGTATTCCTAACGCTTAGCCTGTTGAGCCACACCGCCGCGCCGTTATGTCAGTGACAGTTCAATACTCAACCATTCATTTTTTTTTTATATTTTATAAATACTGTTGAACTAATTTTATCAATAAAGCATTATGGCAAATGAAGAATTTTCTAATCCTCTGCCCCCTGAGCATTATCATGAGACTGATGGCAATGTTAATGAGCAACCTCTAACCAATGCAGACTTTCGAAAATTTTTGACGACCCCTAAAGCTGGTGGTGAAAAAACTCACGATGATCGAGCGAAACGAGTCTCAGCGTCCCAATCAGAATTTGATTCAGAAGATCATGAATCGGCTGCTGAAAAAAGAAGAAAAAAGAAAAGCTTGTATGCAAAACTTAAGAAGCAAGAAATGGAAAGGCAGGCTGAACTTCAGAAGAAATATAGAGATCGGGCAAAAGAGAGGAGAGAAGGTAAAGGAGATTATGCTGAATCTGATCTTATCAATACAACTGCTAATTACAAAACCGTTGGCCCAAGTGCTGAAGCGGACCGAACTTCCGCTGAGAAAAGAAGACAAGTCATCCAAGAATCAAAATATCTTGGAGGTGACATGGCTCATACTCACTTGGTAAAAGGTCTCGATTTCGCTCTTTTACAAAAGGTTCGAGCTGAGATATCGACAAAAGAACGAGAGGACGAAGAACTTGATAAAGTTTTATCTGAAGACATAGAAAACACGAAAGAAGAACAACAGCAGCAACAGAAAGAAGTGGTTACGTTCAAAACAAAAATGGCAAAAAACATACACAGACTTGTCTTTCAGTCGCAAATGAAACTAAGAAATGAATTGTTTTTGCCGGGACGAATGGCGTACGTTTTTCAAGTCGATGATGAGTTTGCAGACACAGATATTCCCACTACTCTGCTTCGTAGTAAAGCAGACTGCCCAACACTCGAGTCTCAAACAACATTATCAACTAACGATATTGTTATTAATAAACTGACTCAGATATTGTCATATTTACGTCAAGGTGCTCGCGAAAAGCATAGAAAGAAGAAAGATAGAAAGATAAAGACTGAAAATGATAGGCCACATAAAAGACCCATTGAAGCGGACATGAGCATATTTGATGATATTGGTGAATATGTTCCTACTCTAAAAAAGAACAGAAGCAAGCCTGCAAAAAATGCTCATTCTTATTTTGAGAAACCTAAAATGGAAGAAGAAATGGTTGAATCAAAACAAGCTGTTGCTGCTTCAGTGAAAAATTTTGTAAAAAATGTGAATGAAAAATATGCAGGGTCGTCACAACCAGACCAAACCAAAGAAACTAAAAAGCAAAAGAAAGAGTCTGGCAAAGGCAATCCACTCATTGGCACAGCGGGGGCATCTGACAGTTACATGGAATGCTATCCATCAGCGCAATACAATTTATCAGGTGTAGGAGACGATAGTGATGATGAAGCAGATTACAGTAAAATGGATCAAGGTAGTAAGAAAGGTCCAGTTGGACGATGGGACTTTGATACTCAAGAAGAATATAGTAATTACATGTCTCAGAAAGAAGCAATGCCTAAAGCTGCCTTCCAGTATGGAATAAAAATGACAGGAGGTCGAAAAACAAGACGAACCAAGGAGCAGAATGAAAAACAAAAATTGAATCGCGAACTGATGCAAATCAATCAAATTATTGAAAAGCGAAAGGGTGGAGATTCGAATTATAAGAAATATTAACTATATATTATCAAGTTATAAGCATTACTTTGATCATAAAAAAATTCAAGATTTAACTTGTGAGCATTACTGTATTTGCCAATGTTTTCATCATGTTGAATGTCTGTTTGTTAAAAGTGATATTCTCATATCATTATTTAGTAAATTGATTTGTGTATATATATATGGATAGACAAGTATAGAATGTGTAATTTGTCATAACCGAATTATTTTAATGAGTGCATATTTTGGAATTTTTGCTTTTGAATGGAGTTTCTTATAATTGATTATGATTGTGGTTTGTATCATTTAGTCACATCTTTGCCACAAACTGGTACTGTAGCTCAAATGGATGCTCTTTTGTAACTGATCTCATAATTCTGATATTTCAGTTTGAATTTTCTGAATGTTACAATAAAAAGTTGTTGAATTAATGATTGTGATGATAAAATCCAATGAAGTACTTATATACCCACTTTTCTCAAGAGTTTTTGTTCTTTTCTCCTAAAATTCATTAAAATGCATGGAGACTGCCACTATCTGAAATTTTACATTGGGCATTCATAAATGTTTGTTAATAATGTCAATCGAAGGTTATCAACCTTTATCAGTTTATTGAATGTTTGCTCTTTTTATTTAGAAAATCAAGTTTAAAATATACATAACAATTTTAAATGTCATCATGACATCTTTAGCTGAACAACTTGCTGAGCTTTTTGATCCGAGTGTGAAGAGCATTGACCCAGAAGATGATATTTATGAAGGTATTGTGATATAACACTCCATGCATCACTGTTTACTTTATGCACATTTTTTTGCTAAAACTGTGATGCACTTCTGCAGTTGTGGTTGTGCTATGGCACATAAAGACTTAAATATACCTGACCATTTAGCGATCGGTGTCTTTTGGCTTGCTACTGAGTTGCTAGGTACCTACATACTCATAATATTCTTTGACTGAACGCTGTAACCCAGGGGTGCACAACCTGCAGCCGTACGGACGCATGCGGCCTTCGCAGGTAAAATGTGCAGCTGTGCTGGTGTGTTACTGAAAAATAATTTATGTTTTATGTTGGCGCTTGAGTGTTACGGAAAATCATATCAGTACTTGTGTCTGTAATGGAAATAAGTTATCAGTATTATAAAAAAGTAACAGCTCTGAATATTCTTTCATATCTCTAAAGCGGGATATCGTTAACAGAGAAACAGTTCTTTAATTCCAGATGAAATTAGATTTTTTTTGGCGTTCATGTAAAGAAGTTATTGTTCGAAACCTGATCGCGATGACGCCACTCGTTGAAAAAGTCAGCTTTTTCAGCTTTACAAAAATGTAATGCCCCCGTCAAACGAGAAAAGGGTGTGCACCCCTGCTGTAACCAATGACCCATTATTATTATTATTACTCAAACATTGTTTGTGAATATTATGGTTGGTATAAATCAAATTGTTTTCTTTCCAACTACTGAATCACTGTCACATTTCAATTATTCGGAGATTGGAACTTCTCCTGAAAGGCTTTCAATTTTGTTTTGAAGATTTTTTTGGTTTAGAAAAATTTTATCCTTGATCATAGATCCCTTGTTCTTTAAAGTTCTTTAATTAAAATATTAAAAGATCATCTGTTTTGTTTGATATTTGCATTTCTACTCTCTTTTTTCAATGGAAGATAAGTATTCTACTCTCTGGCTATAATGCAAGAAACCAATGACTGTATGTGCTACCCAGTTTTGAAATGACTGTACTTTATGGGTTTAGCATATCTGACCGAAATGTTACTCCATGATTGAAGTGACGAACTAAGTAAAACGATATATTACGACTATCTATACCTAATGAAAATTGTTGTATTTTTACATGGTAGAATTTTTGTTTAGAAACCAGAGCTAAAGTTGTAGAGAAAGATGATTTGAATAGTGATGCTGAAGATGAAACAGGTATTCAACATGTTCCTGGAATTGGCCTTAGAAAAATGCAGTCGCTCGAAGGCATGGGAGAGCTATATAGGGGTAAAGTTGTATCAAGGAATCAAACATCAGATGGTGATGGAAGTGAGTCTGACAATGAAGATAACATTGAACTGGAGGTAAATATTGTTGCTATCATGAAGTGCATTAAGGTATTTAGATTACATTTCTGTTTTATTCTTTATAGTCAAGAATAATGAGAGAAATCATGTATGATGGTAGATTTCTTTTGTAATTCGAATATCATGACCTCCAAATATCGTTTTTAGTCTTTATAAGAATATCAAATATCTTTGCTGTCGAGGTGTTTTTGACTGAAAGAATTTTCCAGTTAGTGCATATTTTATTATAGACAAGATGGTCTGTGCGGCCACAGCAATAAATAGGATAAAAATTGTGCTATAATTGTCTCTCATCCTCTGTTTCGATCCTGTCCGAGCATAAGGAAAAAAATTTGAATTTCTTGCAATTCACTATGTCTAAAAAAGCATTTATTTATAATTTAGTATCTCTATCTGATTTTATCGTTATCCTCGTGTCATTGTTGATAATATAGTTTAGTGTAGGTTGGCTGGATTAATTTATATGATAAGACAAAAGTTTATCATTTGTCAAGTTTAGGTGATAAAAAAGGTACCATACTTTTTAGAATGTGTTTTATATAATTGCAATTTATTTATAGAATGGGAATGCTGAAGATGAAAATATTGACAGTGGAGATGATCAAACTGATGAAGATATTGAGAGGTATATTCTTTTACTTATGTTGTTCCCTATATCTATTGACATCCTGTAACCAAATTCTTGATTTAAACCTGTTTTTCACTACTAATGCAGAGAAATGAATGGTGATACTAGCTATAATAGTGAAGTTGGAGACATTATGCTAGATGAAGATGATGGAATGGATGAAGAAATTGATTCTGATGAAGCCGATGGAGATGGCGATGACAGTTTAAAAATATTTCAAAATAGGAAAAAGGCTGATCCATTATTAAAATCGAGAGCTACTAGAAATCAATTTTGTGAGATTACTTATGTTTCTTTTATTAATTAAAATTTGTTAGTTTTATCTGCAAATCTGGTTAATTCTAATATTCATCTAATATTGGACATTATTTTTGATGGGAATGACAAATTGATTGGATTATGTTATTGTTTGGTCATACCTATATCATTAGAGCGAAGCCCTATGATGGTTAGTTTTGGGCTCAACTATATTGGCATTAAAGATCCATGGTTCGAACCTATGATCACCACCTCACTCAGGGTGTAATAAGGTGAATGATTGAGGTCCTTAAGAAAAAAGCAGCTGTTTACATATTGGTGTGATAGAGACTTGTATAGAGCCTTGTTTAAAGTGAAAGACGTCATATATAACGAAAACGATACCTGAATGTATTGTACAATACTTATCTACGGTATATTCACTAAAATTTCATTTGCTGCACAATGTAGTAGGGCCATAACTTTTCTGTTTGCTTACCTCACATTTTGTATAAGAGCACACTTTTCACTGTTAGTTCAAAGTTATCGATGCTCTTTGTCGAGGATAAACATAAACAATAGATAGATGTGAACAGACAGATATTGACTATTTGACTTTGCGAATAAATTCAATTTGTTTTTTTGAGAATTTTTTTTATATTTTTAGGTTTGTGGGAAAATATGCTTGAAGCTCGAATAAAATTTCAGAAGATACTTACAATATCTAACAGATTACCTCAATATGATAAGATGGAACTATTTAAAACTGAATTACCAGCTTCTCTTTCATCTGCGGATAAAATTTTGTCTAATCTTTTATACAAATTGTTAGAATTAGAAAGGAGACTTCTCACTCAAAATCCTGAAACCCAGTCAATAGCAGATTCTAAAATCAGGTATGTTTATTGTCAAAAACCCTGAATTGAATACATTCATGATACCTAAAATCTCAGTGATACGTTAGCTTTAGTATGTGGAATTGTTAGTTTTTTTCAATAGTATTAAATAATGAATTTTATTAAGTATCTCCAAGTTTATCGTAATCAAAATCTGAAGTTTTTGCACTGGTATATTGAAATTTTAATCGTCTGGATCTGCTGTTGCAGCAGTAACATTATGCGATCATATTGCTCTATTTATTTTATAATGCTTGGGACTTGAATGACACTACAAAATCACAGTGCGCATTAAAGAGATATATTTTGTGTAATGACTGACACACATCAATAGAAATGTTGTGGGTAGTCATCTCTAAATTTATTGTTGTTTTTTATGCATAGTAATAACAAGCGGAAAAGTACAACGTCGATGGAAGAGGTGAATGATATGATCCAAGACAGATTTACTTCATATAAAACCCATAGGAATAAAGTACTGAAGTTGTGGTATGATAAAACAAGATTAACAGCGACATCAAAATCAAAGGTATACATACGTAAATCAGTATTCGTCATATTTGTAAAGTTAAGAATATCATAATGTTTTACCTCTTTCATAACAATTATGACTCTTTATATTTCAGTCATTCTCAAATTTTGAACGGTCGACAGTTTCTCAGATAGAAGATATATTGCAAGACCGTGAAAGATTAATCAAGCGAACACAATTGAAAAGAACGAACTATCGTATACTGGGAACGACTCAGTCTAATAAACTAGAGGTCTGTGAAATATTGTGGTTTAGTATGTTAAATTTTTGGTCCAGAATTTGGTTTTGAGATTCAGAATAAGAGGTATGTGTGAGAGGATTCATGAGCTGGTAGTTAGTTTCGCCTTCTCCAGCATCCTAATTCATTCATCTGGAATGATAAAATCAGCTATTCCCAAAGCCAACCAAGACTTGTCAATAATCTTTTTGGTTTGCAATATGATACGCATTTCTCCCTTGGAATAAAAATGGAAAATCCCAATTAATACAGTTCACAATATATTTTCCCATAGAGATAGAATTTATTTTAGTATGATGTCGTCTTAAGATCAAAGAAGGCACAACTAAATGAACAGAGTTGTGTGCCAAGCTTCTGTCTTTTACTCATATCAGATCTATGATATTGACTTCACCCACCCTTGTTAACTGTTGCTTTTTGAAATGTAGCTTTATTTTCAATTAACAGACACCTGTTGAAGATGCTAATAACCACAGTAATCATTTAAAAGAATTTCTGCCTGAAATATATGACGATGATGACTTTTATCACCAGTTACTTCGACAACTCATTGAACAAAAATCATCAGGACCTGGAGGTTCATCAGATCCAGTTGAACTTACGAGGTTTGTACATATTTGTAGCAATATCATATATAAAAATTTACTTGAATTGAAAATGAATTTTTATTTCTCACAAAATTTGACCATGCATCTGATGGATTTTATGAAAATGATTCAATAGTTTTAGTGAATGTCTATTCATGAATATTGCTTTCCTAAATTATTAAAAATAAATAAAATATTTTTGTGTTGTGGTGGTAAATTGTCTTGTCAAAGTGATCACTAAAGATTTTTATAAATTTCAATTTGAAATAATTTCCAAGGCAATGGTTAAAAGTACAAAGATTACGGAGTAAAGCAAAGAAAAATGTTGACACAAAAGCAAGTAAAGGAAGAAAAATAAGGTATGAACTTGAGCATTTATTTCAAATTTTTGACTTCTCATTTAGCTATCACAGTTTTTGGATTAATTACTTGAATTATACAATTTGATTGAGATTTGAGGACCCAATGCCAATGTTTTGAAGAGTTTTATTTGGAGTAGTCTGCTAGAAACTAGGGACACATTGAAAACGTTTTCTGGAGTGGAATTTAATTGATAATAAATTGACTCGCTTGATATACTATAAAAGTATTTACTTTTTTCCAGTGTTCTGTATTCTAAATCGCAATACAGATGATTATGAGACCATAATATGAATATTTCAATATATGAAATATATAATAATTCAATATAATATTAATATTTTAATGCAACCTTTTGACGGGTTTTAACACACACATGGAACCTAAAAAATGCTAATAATACATGATATTTCAAAGGTATGAGATACATCAAAAATTACAGAGCTTCATGGCACCAAATGATCAGTCAGATTTTACTCACGAAGCTAGGAATCAACTATTCATGTCTTTATTTGGAAATGTTCCAGAATGTTCTCCTGAAATATAAAGATTTACATTGCAAATGTTTATGTGAATTTCTTATGACAAGGGATCGGATACAGACCTAATATTATCAGTTAAAAAGGGTATGATTATGCGACTTCAATTGAACCAGATAATGGGTTATAATTAGATTCAGCATTCACTATGCATAATTGTAATTATGATGTCACATGGGAAATCTCCAAGAAGTGTATTGCTTTTTGAAATTCAGCCTAATGTTGAAATGTTCATCTGCCTATTTAAAAAATCGGAAGTTTTTGTCTCTCAACTTAGCGATACCATATAGTTTGCTTTTCTCTGCCACGATGCACGAGACTGGATTTTGCCTAATTTTTGACATCTTTCCTGGAGATCCTCCCTGCATGTTTGGTGTTATGTTATTAGACACGGAGTGGTATTAGTTGTATGGTCAAATTTTTGTTGGACACAAAGTGGATAAACAATGAGTTTATTTCGTCATGCAAAAAATCACGAATGTTTTAAACACAAACTATTATACATTAGAATTTAGATGATAAGAATATCGGATTTCATCGCCATTGACGGAAAGTCGCGAAAAAACCATAACATGGCCATCATGAGTCTGGCACACCAAGATTTAAAGCGAGTCCCAATTGAAAGTATATACGAAGCAATGGACACGTAAAGAAACTTCAGTACTTCAAAAATTGAACAAAGTAATGATTGGTATAAAAATTCACATATATATGATTTGAAAAAACCTAAATAGCGAAAAACAACTGAGAAAAATGCTCAAATACATATGTAACCGATTTGACGGAGTCTGCTGTGATCAGATAAACTGAAGCGTCTGTCGGAAACCGAAATATATACGATTTGGAAACAATGTTTGTCTCATACCTTTTATTCAAATAATCTTATGTTTGAAATGTTGATTATTTCATGTAACATTGAATCATTTTCTCCAAAACTGCTCATTATCAAATAAAAATGACCAAACATTAGCACATATTTGTCGATTTATATAATACGTAAACTGTGACTATATATATGTGATATTTATTTTATATTTCGTTGGCCACGATCATCGTTGTTCTAAAAATGCCAACACTAAGTTCCTATGCTCAAACAAAAAAGTGTAGCCTTGTCAGATGTGCTCAAAATGAATGTCTCAACCTTCTTGTATTGTTGAAAACGAGCAACAAACGAAGTATAGTTTTTCTAAACCAAACATAACATAAATCGGTTGATGTAAGAAATAATTGACAAATTTAATGGATATATAGGAAAACAGGTTACAATTTCCGTATTTAGTATTTTTTTCGTATCGGTTTCTTCGCAGAAACAGTCTCCAATAAGACCTCCAAGATGAAAAGTTTTGGATAATTGACAGTACGTATCATTACAAAATCTGTTGTAGGCCTATATATATATTTAATTGATTTAATCAGAATCACCACTAAAATAGGAACAACACACAGATCGGATAAGGCGAGTACCGTCAACACCAGTGTTTCACTCGACTGCAAATGAAATACAAATGTCTTTTGTCGCAACGTCTGGAAAATGTCAACAAAATAAACTAATTGGACTAAATTAATAGGATTAAAGTTGTCTTTGTTTTTTTATACAAAATAGTGCAAATTATTGATACTGTTGTTCGATTTGTTTGTTTGTATTTTGCTGTACGAGTCACCGTTGGCGTTGAAGCACTATCAGTTTGTCTGTTAGTGTCATGTTTCGACGTAAAGAACTATCACGCTCATTACAACGGTTATTTGTATGCCCCGGGGTAGTAATAGCTGAAAATTAAACAATATACAAATGCTTATCCTGTCCGCCCCCGCAAAAACAGACACGTGACAAGAACGATTTATTTTTTTTTTGTCATGTGAATATATTGCAATCCTTGTCGTAATCGTTGCGTATTTTAATGTTTATATTCGTGGAAGTGAAGTAACTACGGGAATATAAAGATTGTAATAAATTAGGTATATGGAATAATCGTATATGTGAAAGACCGTAAAACATTGATTCACTGATAACAAAAACTGCTGAACTCCTCTATATTTTCCTGTAACGTACAAACCCAACTAAAAAGTCTATGTCCTGCAGTTCAAATCATAACACAACCTCAATTCCAACATGAATCATTTATTTTACACATTGCTCGTATTAGGTTAAAAAAGACTCAAAAGATTTAGTCATATTGGAATAGAAGCCAAATATTGAAGAGTTTTTATGCACGTTTACTTGTTCAACAAATAAGATACATTTGCCAGCAGATACAAATGGCTTCCTTCATGAAACCATGCGAATTTGGTCATGCAAAATAAATGTCTGTAAAATATCATCTCCATGGATGTCTCACAATTATGCCATCTTGGCTTTGGGATCTTTTTCTCTCACTGAAAATAACAATTACATTTTTTATAAAATTATAATTGAAAAAACGCTTGCGTGAAACATGACCTATACAGTGGTGGGATTCAAATTTTTTGTCAGCCGGTTCCATCACAAAAGTCATATTTTTCGGCCGGTTCTGTTACATGTTTTTTTTAGTAATACTAACCGGTTCGCTGATTTCATAAAGTTCCGTGATATGGTTCTATAGAACCGGTGCGACCCGGCTGACTCCCACCACTGGACCGATATCACTCGAAATACCGCAAATTATATTCCAGATAAACTTTCAAGGTTCAGCTTGTCACATGTGTGAAAACACAAGCTTACATTTGAATTAGGGGAAACAACATTAAAAATACAGTAAAATGATCAAAATACTTCAGAATTGACTATTGATGTCTCGTAAATTACACTACTTAGTTTATCTGATAAATAGATAAAAGTTATCACTTACATTTCTGACAATTGTCACCAAAATCCCAATGAACAAAAGGATCAAAATGTGATTGTGTATCCAGTATTTCTCCAGTTTCTGGGTGAAGGCAGTGACAAGTAAATGTGCCTTCTCCACCACATTTCATGGCAATAAACAGACCTTTCTCGTCACATTCTATTAAAAGCGGCATTTTTTATTGAACGGACATTTTCGCTATATATATATTCTAAACCTTACGTTGTGAAATATTGTAGATGTTATCGTTTTTGTCAGCAAAACGCGCTTTCGAAAATTACGGTGCTTTAACAAATCCACTTATATATCGTTAAATAATCTTTCCTTCGACTTATGTAATATATATATATATTACATAATATATTATTAAGTCCATAATCTGAGTAAATGATTCAGTTATAACAATGCTACGGGAAAGTTAAATTAGTAAATCTATTTGAATTAGCGTATTTATAATGATATAGAAATGAGGGGTTTGATGAAACCTTAATTTTGGAGTAATAAAATATAATTTTCTTGATATAAAAGTGTAACAACAGTCAAAAATTTAGGAATTAATCGCAAATTCTATCAATCCTCAATTTGAGAATCAAACTATGTACATGGAAATTTGTATTTTATAGCAAACGTTTATCTGAAACACAAGCGTACGAATAAACGTCTGTAATACATACCGGGAAGAGGTGTAGTAGACTCGCGAACAGCCTTTTCAAGTGCTAATATACAAGGTGCATCAGCTGGTGGTGGAGATGGAGGAGGAATAGTTGGTCTGTCAGGCACAGAGACGGCACTGAAAAATAATTACCGCAAATTAAATGAGAAATTCTACCAAACAAGAAAATTTCATTGCATCGTAATATTTTCATCAAACCTCCTTTTACCCCACTTCATGAATTCCTTATTCCCAGTCAAAAACAATTAACCTTGTGGTATGCCGATAAAACTAGCAATGCAATGCCAGGTCGTGGTACAGTATTTTACATTATTGATATTTTATATTATATATATATATATTAATATAATTAACAATATATTTCTATAGATTCCTGTGACTTGTCAGCAAATGTATTGAAGTCTATCATTACCACGATCCGTTTTTATTCGTTACTTCGTCTTCTCCTTTTCTACAATCAGCGGTCCCATCACACAAAGATGTTTTTTCTAGGCAAGTTTGATACGCTCTTTTTCCTCTTCCGTTCATGCACTGAAATGTATATGCGTCGCAGTCTAAAATTATAAAATCGTAAATAATTTTTCTAACTTGTCTGAGGAAATGATATTTTACAGAAAAATAGTGGAGCATATATATATATATATATATATATGCTTTACAAGGGCAAAAGAATGTAAGCAATACCTTATTTACTATTACAGCAAATAGCCAAAGAATGTTATTATTCTGCTTGAGACATTCCAGTGGCCAAATGGCAAGCTTCAAATCAAAAGTTGGTCACAGTTATTGACAGTTTACTCACCAGTATAGAAGTCCATAGAACGAAGGTTCGAATACTTTTTCTTGTTAAAAATAACCAATTCATATAGAATTCCGGGTCGCAATGAATTTACAGCATTGATTTCGTAATATCCTTCTTCATCCATATCCGATTTCACTAAGTCAACTACGTAGTCAGAAGGTGCGTCTGCCAGATACTAAAATATATATACTGTATATTATTTATATGTAAAGCAATTTTATCATGTTATCTTGGATGCTGCACATCGACTGGAATTCATAGGCTATATTCTGAATCAATGCATTTCATACAAAACGCGTGATATATCTACAACAACGTAACGAACATAATAACGTCTTGATTTATTCAGTTACTCAAAAAAAATTCCTGTGTTCAAAAATATCTCTATTATTTCATCTTATTGAATCATTTCCCCCCAAAACACCCACAGTTATTCGATATATCCGCCGAATTAGATGATACGCTACGGCAATGATATATATATTAAATGTTTATTTTGGGACCTCCTGAAGTATGCGCACCAAGATGGCGCACAACCTGAACTCAGGTTGTGTACCAGGTTAGGGTTCAGGTTATGCGACATCTTGGTGCGCATACTTCAGGAGCACCTTATTTTGTTTATCACTATTCTCGTTGTTCTAGTAATGTGAATAGTAGGTTCAAATGTTTGAACAAGAAAAATTGTCACCTTTTCAGAGATGCTCACAAAGTATTTCTTGACCCTCTTGTATTGTCGAAAACGAGCAATAAATGAAGTCGAATTTTTCTGTAACCATAAATGATATATAGACATAAATAATATGCTATAAGATATATATATATGTACATGTTAAATTGAATTAAAACAAAATGTTTCTCACCGATACAATTTCCATGTGTATTCTTTTCCTTCTTCTCGCTTTCTTTGCAGAAATAGTCGCAACTAAAGCCACCAAGATGAAAAGTTTCAGATAGTTCATAGTTACAAACGTACTTTTAAAAAATCTATTACTTGAATTAAAAGTCGCTTTTTTATTTGTATTTTATCTGTAGCACCACTAAAATTGGTAAATAGAAATAACACTTTGGTTGGGAAAGGATAAGTACCGTCACGTCCGTGATTTACTATGACTGCAAACTCTATCTGAAATATTGCATGTCTTTTGTCCGAATATTTATCAATAAAACAAACTACATTGGTGTGCCTGATTTTCTTGCGATGTCCATCGGAAGGCAGCAATGCAATTAACTGCTACGTTGAAAATGTTTTACACGAAGTAGTAACAGTTTACGTGATGAAAACTCGAATTTTCATTTTTAACTCTCGTTTTGCAATATATTTACATATTGTGCACATTTCAATGCAAATGATAAACATGGTACGAGTTGTCGCTATTTATTAGGATTCATCGAAAGAAAATCATTTCACGCCCATCACGACTTATCGGAAACGTGATAGTTTCTCAAGTGACCAAGAATCATCGACTAACGCTCGCATTAACGCAACGCACGGAATCAGGAGAAAGTATCATTAATTATAACGCCCGCAGGCAGAAATCAGAACGACCATTGTCGCGTAATCGAAGTTATTCGAGTTAAATAAGTATTTTTAAACTGATTACCATAAATGCTATCGAAACTATCATGTTCTTCTTCCCCGCCAGGTAGCTAGTATGATTTTGTGTGGGTTACCTGTAAATATTTAGTTTCGTGAATGTCGTCACATTCTTGTAGCCTAGTTATTCCTTACGGTCGCTTCATTGTTTATCCTAATAGTCGTAAACTATTTGAGCATAAAGTAATTGACAGTAAGTGCATTACTTTTCCGTAGAATTTCCACAATTAATCAGGTCACGATTGGCTAGCTTTCATTTTCATGCGTTAGTGCTTCAAAACTAAACTTATGTCGAAAAATTGACAGTGGCATTAGCCAGTTCCAATTCTTTTTTATCGCTACAATGGAGTACAGACTCAAACGGAGTCTTGTTATTGCATCCGCTCCTATCTGTAAGAAAAACCAAAATGATGTAAGAAAAACAAAAAAATGGCTCTCGCTAACATTTTCAACCGACGTTTTAACGATATTTTTAACGATAGCGGTATTTGAACTGAGTCAAAAATTGTACGTCTCTCCTATAATAATTTACTCTATTCCGATTTTTTCGTAAACGATTCACCGATAATCCGACATCATAATCAAAATAAATTTCTAGTTAAGCAGGTAACTCTCCGGGCCAGGAGGATTGCTGGAGTTGATTCTATGGTTGACCCATGAAAATATAGGATTTTATTATGCACTCTTATAGTCATTTTAGCGTGTTTATTAAATATTGATAAGAATATTAGTGTAATCACTAATTATTATTATACTATCGCAAAACTAATAATAATGTGTGGAAAATTTTCCGCATTCTGCCGGCTCAAATTTTGCGATTTTCTGCTAGCTTCACAAAAATAAATTCGTATATATAATATTCAATTCGTTTATATAAAATAAAAACGACCTAATCATAATAATAGGTTAGTAGTTAATGGTCAAAATTTACCGTCGAGGCCACCTTACGTAATAGTAAATCCGTCACTGGCCATAGCGCTTTATGCTGCGTGTTGCATGCATTGAACGTTGAATTAATTTCACAAAAGTGAGTGAAAGCTTACTCTTGAAAATGGTTCCTATATTTTACCATTGTCAGATCTTTGGTGGGTATTTTGAGCGTGTTTCCACGAGTTATCCAATGTTAGCAAAATGAACAAGTAAATTGAGACTCGGAAACACCCAATGTATATTTATGTATAATCTCACAAAAAAGATTGACATAAATTTTTTTTTTTAAATTTTCTGAAATCCTGCAAGAAATGTTATATCCACACAATCAATTAGTACATCATAATATTTAATAGGAAAATTTTTCTGGTTCGTCAAAATTACGGCAGTCGGATAAGTGCAGTGGAACTGAGCTCCAGCCGTCGCCAATTTCAACAAGCTTATTTCGAGCTCGTAAAATATCTTGTGCGCTGGGATGCGGATTGCGGCTGTGGATCCATATGTAACGTTTACCTGAAACAGTGCGAGATAAATATTCAACTTAATGATTCGAATAAGTGTGGAACAAACAAGGAATATCACCAAATGATACTTACCTAAGTGGTTGCATTGCAAGCACATAAAATAACGCTCATAATCTGTAAAACAACTCATGGGTCGATCGTAAAAGTTTTTAATTTCTGTAAAGATAATAAAACGGCAGGTTCACAATTTTTATATAAAAATGTGTTTTCATCATTCAATCTGAAAATTGGTCGCATCTTTGATGAAGAATAAAGAATGTGATATTTCTTATCTTTTTAAGTGGCACCCCCGTCTTTAAAGAAAATATAGTGGTTTGCTATACAACATAATGCACACACTCCTAAACAGTTGAGGACACTAAATTCTAAGAAAATTTTTAGTTCCGTGTTTGTAAAATTTTAATCCAATACCCTCGTCATCTCATAAACACCCTAGTAATATTAGGTCATTAGCTTTGTAACAATGGAGTATCTGCCGAGGTTTGCAGTGTTGCGCAGCAATATGGAGTTTTTGTGTAATACTAACAATGATGCACGTAACAATACACGCAACGAGAGAAGACGGTCGACCGTCATGTATACCTGCAAATGCGTTATCTCCGGCTCCGTTATATTTTGCTTCATTCAACCACAAGTATTCTAGATCAGAAAATATCATTATCAAGGAAATATTCCACGGTGCAGAATTACAGTTGGATAAATCATAATTTTACAAACCAAACTTTTCGTCGAATCTAATGATAGAGCTTCCGTTATGATACCAATGAACTGGTATTACCCCATTAAATCTTATTGCACCCCTGCAAAAATAGAGAAGCATATTATCATAAAGAAAATATTTGAAATGTATATATATTGTATTCTGATGGGTGCACAAACTTTCGTTGGGTGTGGTGAACTTCTCTGATAGATACGGATCAATTGAACTATATGTAATTTTGCTCACAAATTATTGCGACAAACACTTATTTTTTATTGGTTTCACAACAGAATTTGGAATAACAGCCGTCGATACATCTTTCAAAATGAAATATTAAGTTGTTTGCGCAAATCGATGAGAATCGAAGAAAATCAAGGCTATGAGCCTATCATATTCAATGAATTTTCATTGAAATTTAATTTTCAATGAAAAGCGTTTTATAACGTAAACCCAATATCGTATCGAGTTATTTTCCTTTCTTAAGTTAAAATACCACTAGTCCAAGGTAAATATTATTTCCATGTGTAATACAGTATATATATAACAATATGTACGGCGTTTCAAAAAAACTTAGTCAAAAATAGAATTATAATCATTAAAACGAATTAAAATGTATTCACTTTTCTGCCGAGGAAATATCTTGAAATTCTCCGTAGGAACCGTCGTCGTGAGAATCGTGGAAGAATAGGAATGCATAACATGGGACGTGGTGTTCAACGGGATCGTTTGTGTTCAGGATGTGATACCAAGAATGAGGAAGCTAAAACGATACAACAGTCTCACTCTGTTTACTCTTGCTCTATTCGAATCGTTCTACAGTAGCAAACTTTGTGGGTATTTTTTGGTTTTATTCTTATTTTTATCAATGGAACATTTTTTCGTGAACCTTTTTTTCAATGATCAATGAACGGATAAACGCTTGTAGTAACTGGCTCGCTATGGCATTCATAATCATAAAGTTATCCGAAATTTAGGGGAAAGTGGGGAAGGTTGGGACACTTTTTTTCTTTTTCATATTCTGAGCCCTTTATTCTGCACATTCATATGACTTTGCGGGATTATTGCAGAGAGGGGTAAATGTATATTTTATTCAGCGACTAAGAAATTCCCTTGCGACACACATCTTACCACTAAAATGCTTTGAAAAACGTTTGTCAAGTGTCCCACTGTACCCCACTTGTGGGGCACATTCGGACAGACCCTGGGGCACAATGGGTCATTCTGTTAAAATTCAAGGAAGTATGCCCTTAAAAATAAGCAATCAATCAGCATAATCGTCTAAAGAACAGGGAGACCTCAAATTTGAAGATTTAAGATTTTTAAAATCAATGTTCAACCGAAATATTTCAGATATTCCACCAAAAAATTCGCTTACAAATTAAATTATTTTCTAATCCGAATCTAAATCTGGAAATATTTTTGATTCTCGAATATATTTTATATTGGACCATGAGTCGAAAGATACCATTATGTTACATAAAAATATAACGCATCTATAAGTCTCTAAGCACTTGTTGTATCAAACACTGTCGAATTGTGCCATGTAGAGCATGTCCCACTGAACTCCGGTCCATTGTTCCCCATAATCAACAAATATCTTCAGATCATCTCACGGCGAAATTCGGAAGACACATCCACTCGCCAACGTTATAAATATTTCACAGTGGACTATAGCTTAAAGATATCAGACGGTGGTTTGTCACGTTGAAAAGGCTAAGTTAGAAAAAAGAAAAAACTGGAACGGTGAAATTTTAGTTTCAACTCCCCAAAACCAATTTCACCTCATAGCTTGCATCGCTCTACCCGTCCGCTGTCCGTTTGCGGGGACGTTGTAACTCACCGAAGGGCGGATTGAAACATCAAACCGCGAACCGGATTCCGAATATAGTATCAGTGTGAGAGCTGATTTTCCACTGTGCCCCATGTCCCAACGTGCCCCACCTTCCCCTACTGTATATGAAGAGACATTGTAATTTCAGCTTCAGTTAAATTACCTTACCATGTTATATTTGACCTCGTCGAAAATTGGCAAAGTGCACTTTTCTTTTCCATTTTCAATTCGCGGCTTACCGACTGTCGTAGACACGAAACAAATAGTCAGGATCGATGTCAAGCTCGTGAAGACCATCCTTACTTTGAAAGGTTACTCCTACAAATGGTAATCCACGACTTTTTCGAACGATATATCTTGTGAAATCAAATCATAACAATATGGGTCGTGCTGAACCATCGCGATTACGCCGAAATACGCTATGAACTCCGAAACGATTATCTGCTGAATAAACAAGATTACGCACGTTCGTACTCAGAATATATAAAACCAAAATGCAGGCGGCATGAGATGCTGCATTTACCAATGATATCATCATTGTCAATCTGGACAAAAACAAAGTTTATGATGAAACAAAACAGTAATAAGCAAAAATGCCCACAATGACTATCGTCGAAGTACATAACTTTGGATGAAATGGCCGTAATTTCCACGTAACTCGACCATTTATCATCAATGCAACGGCCAAATTTACCAAGTTTGATATGATAATCAAAATAAGTAGCCTACAGCAGTCGTATTTTTAGACTCATTTGGTGGTATTCGTCTTTAAAGTTAAAAACTCCACTGAGACTTGCGAACTTGTCGCATGCACAACTGTACGACCAACCCACCTAGTCAGCCATAAAAGATTGGCCAATCCTGTCGGAATACAACGTTGTGGGTGTAACCAGCCCCCAAAAAAAAAAACTTGGTAAGCTTGTGAATCACACCAGAAGATTTGCATGTAAGTGTAAAAAGCACTGATACAGTAATCAGAGTATTTTATTTTTCCATTATACTGAAAATACACTTTGTATGACCAATATAAAGAACAAGCTGGTAGGCGCCCAGTTGGATCTCCGCCATTGTTTGAGGCCCGCGTCATTTCCGTTCACAAACAGGTAATAGGACAGTGGTTCCCAACCGCCGGTCCGCGGAGCTTTTTTGCCGGTCCGCGAGAAATTTTGTTGTTTTCATGCCGTCTCATGCGCTTTACCGAAGACGAGGTTGCGTTTGTGTATTACGCAATTTCTCTTCCGCCGTCATATTGCGAAATCTTGGCGCCGAGTAATCACAAATTTTGCTTTTTCGGCTCCGATTCATCGCGAATGCGCTCCATCAAATCTCGCAAGTTTCAGAAACCTAAAAATCGGCATGAGTGCTTTTCTGTTCTGCGCATTTTTCCTGATTAGTATGACCATTCATATAAAACGCAATGTATATTTTCTTTGTTTAAACCAGAATACAGTCAAAAACAGTATAATATTTGGTGTTGTGTTGTCTCTCTCTATATATATATTGTTTTGTTTTATAAACTATCCTGTATAAACAGTTTTGTATACTCCACCCTTACCACTTCCACCACACCAACCGACCCATTGCACCCCCTTGCACAACTGTCTATATAGGGACCATATTTTACATATTTAATATAATGTTTTTTGTTTTATATTTGTCAAAAGGGGTGCATGCCGCACATTTGTGTTTTAGGCCAGCACGGTCTTGTGCATGCATCCCGTCTCAAATAATAATAATTTTTCATTTATTTATGTATTCACTATTACGAGACGAATAAACATACATACATACAATAATCCAATAAGATATGAACTTGTTGCGACCCTACATGTGGTCACGAGACGCGCACTACTTCACAGTCCAGATTAAGAAAGAATCACTGTCTAAATTTGAATATCTCTTGATAACGAATACCCATCCCTATGTTATCAAGCAATCAAGCTGTTGTTTGTGTTTTCAACCAGTTACTGCGTTTTGCAAAAAAAAAAAAAAATTTCATCACTAGCTTCAATTGAAACGAAGCAAAGAAATTGGCTGCACGCCTCTGCTGAGCAACGTGTTGCAGAAACTCATTTGAGGCCTCAGTTGCAATCCTATATTGGAAACGAAACAGCAGCATAATTCTCACTAGAGTTAATTGTGTTTATACATGATTTGCTATGTACATGTTTTTATGTGAGATGTTTTCTGCGTGCCTTTTTTACGCATATTGGGTGCCCCGTACTGCATTTTATTACGAAAATAGATGTCATTATTTTATGTTTCACCCATTTCAATTTTTGGCCAGCACAACATTTGATAATTTTTTTTCGTGTGAAATGTTTTCAAGTGTGTCTTTTCAGTCTAAAATCATATTGAGTTCCCGACATTGCAATATATTATCTGTTCCGGGTATTTCAATTTTTCGCCTGTCCGCGAGTAAATTTAATTTAATTTTACCGGTCCGCCAGGATAGGAAGGTTGGGAACCACTTAGACGTCCAATATCGCTGTATTATCTATCTAAAAAGTAAAAAGATAATTGTGGTAAATTAAGTTCAAATACAAAACTTTTGTTTGGATGTTTAAAATGGTTATTCCGTATTGTTCCGTTGGCTGTACGTATAGTATATACAAAATTCGGTTATATTCCACTTTTTTCAAAAGATCCGCAACGTCGCGCAATGTGGATATCATCTATTGGCAGGACTGCTTGGTGTCAAGTCCAGAAGTCATCTCTCTTGTGTTTCACTGTTTGCGAAAAGCACTTCGTTGATGGTGTGTGATAATGTGCCGTTATCAATTTCTCTAAATATTCATAAGCTCCCTCATTTCAATGGAAAGCAGATGACTTTTTTTTTTCGCGACCCCAATTTTTATAGAATCAAAGCTTACAGATACTCGCGACCCCGCTAGAAACGTTCAGTAACTTCAAAAATCAACATATTATAAGTTTAATCACAATGTACCTGCTGTTTATCGACTGCAAGTAGACGTTCCAAACGGGGAAACCTCAGAAGATTTGATAACACATGGAATCGTATGAAAACCAGGTGTGATAATCTGTTAGATTGGAATTAGTGTTAGAATTAGTGTACTTGATAAAATGTGGTAGATTGTAAGGACGCGTACGATATTCGGAAATAGTAAGATTGTTTCTAAATATACAATAACTCGAAATCCTATTCAGTATATTCCAACAGCGAGCGTCTTTGTTATTTTTAGTTCTATATTAACATATTATTTTTTCTTAAATTTTTTTTTTCAATCATTAATTCGAAAGTAAAACAGAGCATGAATGTAAAATAGGAAAAGCAGCGTATGGAATCCCATCTTTTAAGTTCCCTCATTATGCTAGAACTTGTGGTTTTGTGTTTGACTGCTCGGAACGCTTCATAATTTTGTATGAAACGTCTAAATACGTAATGTTACAATACGAAAATGTTCACCTTCATGTTGAGGCAGTGTGGACGAAACACGTAGCCTACTCGTAGATTTTAGACACGTGCGCGAATTAACAAAGCGCTCTCGCAACGGATCGAAACCTAAAGGTTCATAATTACTCGGTCAAGACCAAAGTGACTATATTCACTTTGGTCAAGACCCCGCCTGTCAATCAATACCATACTTGCCAAACACCTGATCAAGGTCCAATCGCCGGATAAAGCAATTTGTTTTGTATTTTCGGTGACCAAGCGGCTACACTGGTACAAAATCACAAATCAATATAATTTCTCTCAGCCTAATAAAAATCCGATTCGCGTACCATCGGGTCAACTACTCATTGGGATGTAACATGATCAAAAAAGCTATAAAATAATATTGGCACTCGTACCATTGTCACTCAAACCAAACCAAAGTGACCAGAAACCAAGTGGGACACCGTATGCGATGATGCATATCGGACGCCATTATGTGTCCATCGAATCGCGCGATAGTTATCTTACTACAGGTATCGCGTTTAGTTATGCAACTTCGAAACCTCATATCTCACTAACCTTACATTATATTTAGACAAGTTTTATATTGTTTGAGAGACAATCTAGGAGACTAATTATAATTATGAGATGGGGATAAAATGTCCCGATTATCGTATAAAAATAGGCGAAATTGAAAGCGTGAATTTTTTTGAAAAACTTTTCAATTAAATGACAAAACCTCCGATTTGTTCTTGTTTTAATCTAATATGATATCGACACATATACTTTTGTAAGTTTGACATTTGTAGAGATTAAAAATAGCTTTCGAATAGTATCATTAGATTGAATTTATCGTACACCAGTAAAATTGTATACTCTATTTTATTTAATGTTCTCCAATTCTTCATATGTCCGCTGCGCAAACTTGAGTTAAACATCGACGTTCCTTAATTACTTCGTTACGCAGCGATCTTTCGCAATTACGTTGCGACCAAAGTGTTGCAACGTAGCAGCTCTGCGTTCCTTATGAAAAATACTTATCACTTACCCTGGTAAGTGTAAAACATCATTAACCGTCCTAAAGCATACGTTTAAAGCAGGTATTATTTAAACCGCGGCCGATGCTACAATACTGATATAATTGGAACTCCAGCTGTGAACGACAAAATTCGCGATTGCGTAATTTACAACGTTCCGCAGAACAACGTCGCATGAACGTCAATGCCTAATTGTACTTTGCATCGTTACGAAAAACTCTAGTCACTTTGCTGCCGACCAGCTGGAAAGGTACCGCATGAAAGTTTTACCGATCAAATTTGGGGCCGTTTGGACAATAAATGGTCGAGTTATTGCTGAAAAATCCGAAGTTAAGCATTTTTATGGTATCTGCCGAGCAGTTCAAATCTGATTTTCCAAATTCAAAATCTTAGTCCCTTGTGTGCGCATGTTTGGAAGACATTAGGCGGCCCCAGAAAATCTTCACGCGACCCCATCGGGTGTCGCGACCCACAGTTTGGGAACCACTGGTTTAGAGGATACAAAATTAATTTCTATAACAGTATTACTTACAAATTTCTGTGAGCTTTATTCGTTTATTCACTTTGAAGTTTTGTGTGCTGATCAAAACAAGAGAGCAATCATCAAATATATTGACAGGGAATGTCAAACGAAGTATATAAGCCTATGGTAGACTATTCGGAAAAGAAGCATTATATCTTTACAGTACCGGTACAGTAGAAAAGCGGGGTCTCGTGTAGTTTCGTACCTAACGTACTTCTAGTGGGCGTAGCATAACAATTTTTTGATATGTCAATTGTAACTCCCAGATAAAACCGGGCAGCAAGAAGTATACAGTTACTCAATTTGTTATAAAAATTACAAACATATCCCA